ATAAATTATCGAAAATATCTTTAATAGATTTTAGTGATTTAGATACAGTAATATCATAAAGTGAGAAAAATATGACTGCTTCAAAGTAATTATTGATTAAATGGTAGTATTTATTACTCTAATTTTGTATGTTTTAAAACTACTCAATAAAATAGCTGCCTTATTCCTTAAGCAAAGCTACACGAAATATATCGATAAAAATTGCCCCTCAATTTTTCACATTCAGATAATGTTGCCATACTACAATCTTACTAGTTTTGTAACTTTACTGTTGCGAGTCAATTTATTCGTCACAGATGAGTAATCACCATACTAGATGCAACTAGGGTCAGTAAACTTTATTTAAATGTTGGTCCCTCAAACAGTTCCAGATAAGGGTTGATGATAAAGGGGTGGTCTTTTAAACAATGCGATACAACGACATGGGGTTGAGTAAACTTAAAATGCTTTCTTAACAAGGTAATTTAGTACAACAGATTTTGATATACGAACGAGTGATTTGTTCGAATGTGAAACAGTAAATAAACTTTAAAATATTGTAACTGAAATAAAAATTTGGATCTATTTGCCTTTTTAAATTTTTACATTAATACATTTATAACAATATTTTATTTGTATGTATTTACTACAAATTTATATTTGGTCATTACGTTTGAATTTACGACAAAATTCAAATACGGGTTCCACAGAGAGATTCTGATTATAATCATTTTTCTTTTTATAAATAAGTTACATTTCTGTCCCGTTTATGTCGAGGGAATATTGTTATTTACTTTTTCTTTATTGTCTTTTTCCTGTGGGAGTGGGGTTAGTCAATTCTTTAACTTCAAAACTAAATATTATTATTAGTTTGTAAACTAATATATTCATTTTGTCAAGTATTGCTTTCCCCAGGTATTATAAGCGGATAGTAGATCCCAAACTGTATAAACTGGCCTTGTAAATTAATTGACATCGATTTACTGTGAAACCAACTTTAAAAACACAAAACAGGTTTTATATTTTACTGTTGGATGAAAAGTTTTAATCTTGCAATTTTCAATCCTATACATATTCGTTTTAAGAGAGGGACGCCACCTATGCGCGTATTTTAACCAAAATATGAGGGAAGGATGAGTGTAAAATCGAGTCAAGTAATGAAGGTAATGCCTTGTCTAGCTTTGTTACTGACTTAAGATATGCTGAACTGTATGTTAAACATACTTCCTGTACGACACAATAAGTTGCTAAAAACAGTTTTTCCGCAACGAGTAATATCCCAAATTTGTTATTTACTAGTAATAATTACTATATTAAACGAGGGAATCTGTTATATAAGTTGATAGAAAAGCCCAACCAAACAAACATTATTCATCTTACGGTTTACAATAATCAGCTGATTACATTGTTTGAGAAGGCAACAGTGATGCAAACAATCAGCTGTTTACATTCTTATAAACGTCACCAATTCCAACCCTACCAGTCCACAAGTTCAGTGGATTTCTATTTGGGTTTCACCCTGATAAGGATGGGGTGAACGACCTCTTGAAATTATCGTATCCTGACAAAACTGATAATGTTTTTGGAATTCGGAATTTCCTGTATGATTAAGGGGACTTTGTTATACATTTTTCTTTCTCGTGCTGCAACTAAAACAGTTTTTTATTTCAATCACTCAAGCACTTTTAATCCGATTTTAATTATATTTGTCATGATTGTGTAAGGATGTAAACACTTGAATGAGTTCGCGAACAAGGTCGTTTTGCGAACAAGCAGTCTTGGGCAGTGGGAACGGGGCTCTATGGGGCTCGAAATGTAAAGGGTTTACCATCAAAATATGGATATACCAAATTGTTATTACAACCAACGTGTAGAGCTCACAAAAATTATTTTGTACATTGAAGCGTTGTTGCACGATTTAAGGTCATGGAGAAAATACAAAAAACGTTACATGTAAATTCCCATAGTAAACTGTGCTAGTTTTCTTGTTTATGGATGTATTGTGATAAAATTTCGTAATGTTTTATTTCATATAAAACTTTTAAAATTATACAACTTTTCCTTCCCTGTAGCAGCATACCTAAGTATTTATTGAACCTTAATGTAATTTAAATAGGGAATAACGTGTTAATCCTTGGAATTTCAAAGCGCCTTCAATCAATAAATATCAATATAAACGCCGAAAAGCATTGCGGTGTAGTATTGGAAGTTTCGAAGGATACTTTTTTTATTGATTGCTTGACCCTCGCCTCTCACATATAACTTATGCCTTTATTATATAATGTATGTCTTAACTGTAGTGTAACTGAGTGGTTTATACTGTTCACCTTGCAGTCAGAAGGTCGCGGGTACGATCCTGAGAAGTCATTACTTTTTGTTCGAAATTGGACTCAGCTGTCTTTGATCATTGTGATTTTAATGCATGCTCAAGATTAAATAAACAGCTGATCTTGGAAACAAAGCTATAATAGTATATTCCATCACTAGGGCCTAAAGTGACTCTTTTTGACCCGAGGTCAGGTTTTACGATCGAGGCGAAGCCGAGGTCGAAATATGAGTGAGGGTTAAAAAGACACTTTACGCCCGTGTGGTGAACTATATTTTTCGTCATATTGCATCATTATTTAACAAACTAAGTAAGTGATTCAATCATTTCGTCTATTACGATTGTGTTACAGTATATTATACCATCGATATGTCGAGCGATCGACAACAGACTAACGCCTTACCTAACAAATCAATCGATAAATAATTTCGATCGACACGATTGCCACAATCGAAATTTACAACTGTTTACAACAGCAGATATTTACTAGAGACTAAAAATGTGTTTACTCCCAAAAATGCTACTTTAGACCAGCAACGCATGCATTAAAAACGGCTGTTTTAAACGGGACGAGAAAATCAATTAAATAATCCTCCACTTATATTTCAGTAAAAAACGCATTACGTTTACATTTCATGGAAGTGAAATAGAGTTGACCATGGACGATTTGCCTAACCTAATATTAAAAACCAAACCTGCAGTAAAAATATCACGAGATGTGTTTGGCTATCGAAATTTATTATGCTCGATTTTTGGCAAACTCGTCGTGTGCATAAAACAGTCAGGGCGAGATTCCTCAGCCAAAACATGCGAAACATCAATCAAGATTGGAAAATCGTCTAGAAATACTTTTTTGCCCAATAAACTATTTCTGGCCTGTGAGGTCAGATTTAAATACAACATGACCTAGTCTTCGACAAATTAAAACGTTTATGGCAGATTATTTTTTGATATTTGCGATAACCAGGAATGGAATTCAAACCTTATTTACGTATTTGTGTAGCAGGACACATTTCTAACTCATCACGGTTCGTTAAAAATCGTACAAAACGGCGCCTTTTTCAATCTTTATCAAATCCGCTAGCGGCTATAAAAAATTATTAATATAAAAAAACTGTGATTACGCCCATATTTAAAATACAATTTCCCCAATGAATATAGTTTTACTAACTTATGATAGTTATTATTACATAAGATAAAGTTTACAATGTTAGTTCTCTTTTCAGTTTGTAGAGAATTAAAAAAAGAACACGAATCAGTTACTGACCTCAACGAATTGTATAGGGAATAGATGGTGAGATTTTTTAATAGAATGATTAGTACTATCATTTACTATGGTCTACTCTCTTTCACGTGTGGTACTATTTATAATTTTTAAATGGCCTTAATATTTCTCCTATAACTAGCAACTGTACGCATTTAATGAACGAATGGTAGGCTATGGCATATCACACGAATATTCTTTCCACTGCAAAAGTTAGTAACCATTTTATTTTCATTATATTATATTTTATTGTATACTTCCTTTAAATGACAGAAATGTATTTTAAGGTTTTATGCAGATCAAAAGGGATTATGGCCTTTGAAGGATTATATGGAATAATTTGAATTCCCATCCCCATATTAAAAAAACATATTTAAAACATAAATAAAACTATACATCTAAAATATTACTATATATTTAATTAGACATCATATTTTTAAACGATAATCTAACAGCACACAAACTACTGAGCCTATTTCAATAAGATTTTCAACATTTAAATCTCCATTCACTTATTTGTTTTCATTTTATAATAGGGTATTTTTATTTCACCACTAACAACGTTGGCAGTACTGGAACATGTGTGATAACAGTAATTGCATTGAACAGCTGTTTAATTATTACGTATTGTTTATGTACACGGATGTGCATCTTGTGATTTAATAGGTGTATAGTATGTTCCAGAATATGACGTTGTGAGTTGGAAGTGTTTTACTATGTGTGAATTTATTTAATTATTCACAAATGTTTTTCCTTCACGTTTTAAAATTTAATCTCTATTGGCTCGGGAGCACAGTTTTGTAGCGTAAATGTGTTTATGTGGTAGATTCTTACATTATTTATAAGTTTTGAAATGTAATAGATTTTTGTATTACGCCGGTAAACAGTTTTGTATTTTTTTGCACTGGAAACATAAAATTGTATCACTGCCTTGGTAATCCATGTTAATAATACGTTTTACTTGATATGATGATCACATTTGGGGTTTTATTACGAAATCGAGCATAGTTTTTATTTAAAAAATCAAAATTCGTCTTTCGGAAGAAATATTTTTTTATTTTCACTAAAATTTAAAATTAGGCTACATCGAATCAGCTGTTTAAATTGTTGATTTTGTTGTTGTTTTTGGAAAACGTTTGCTTAATGTTGTAATTGACTATCTTTAGGGCCTGTATGGCTAAGATTTATAATACAATCAGGATAAATATAGATTTATACTTATCCTTTAGTCCTTTATTGAACGGAGGATGTTTACTATATGGTTTTGTTTAACCATTCAACACAAGGAAACTAAGCAAGTGATTTTTAAGTAACATTAAACAAACTACCGTGTTAACTTCGCGTTTCTGCTTGCACGCTTGCACGATTGCGTAGCGTGCGCAAGTGTTTGCGTGTGTGCGCTACAAACAAATTTAGCTCTAGTCGCGCCCACCAAAACAAAGCAGCCAGTCTGCGCTTGCAGCTTCGCCACTTCATTTGTGCGCAATCCGTGGAAATTGTGATCGAAAAGTGTTTATAGTTTTTCTTCTACTCTGTTGTATTGAAATTCCCATACGTTATTGTGCAGTAAGTATAACGTTTTGAAGTTAGATGATTAAGAGACAACTGATTTTTGCTACATTTATGTTTTTGGGTTGTTTGTTTACTAGGGTGATAATTAAACGAATTGCTTGGTATTTATATCTGTGGGATATTTGCCACTTTGAGTGATAACTATACGTAGCGGTCGTTTATAATTTAGTTACCGGGTAAATTTGCGAATAATACCTGTTGATTGCGTGGTTATATTGGTTATATGTGGTGCTTGTTTGAGAGATAACTATACGTTTTGGTTACATTTTTTTAGTTGGTGGGGGATTTTTTTTACAATTGATCACTTTTCAAACAATTTGTGAAATTGTCAATTTACCACAGTAAAAATGTTAATTTGTTTGAATAACGTAATGTACGTATGATTAAATAACGTGTGTATCGAATACGTTTTATTGGAACTTTGAGTTAGTGGAGTATCGAGATCACTTGGGTTTGTTTACAAGAATAGAGTTGAAACATGTGTTTGCAATCAATGCACACAGGTGATAAACCAAGTGGTTTCCATAGCAATGCTTTGAGACCATGTTGTTTACTACAATTTCTCGTTTGTTTTTGTATCATTTTAACGTATTTGATGTATTTAATCTCACACCTATTTTAACGGAACATAACAAATCTTAAACTATTATTTATCCTCTGATATTATAACCAAAGGGTGAAGTACGGATTTTAAAATCTAGACTAAAATAAAATAGAATCGCTTATATTAACGTCACACAGATGTCGCTACACACAGATTAGATTAGATTAGGATTTTTACAACTTCAACACAACGGGGAGCAAAAATAAGTAAATGATGAGTGTTATGAGATATAAGTTTTGTTACTGACTAAGATCAGCTGGTTAGCCAGGATTTTATATTGAAAACCCAGGGATGAAGACCAGCTGGGTCCAGTTTCGAACAATTAAACGATCTTGACTATATTCTCATGGGCAGGTAATCAGCTGGGCGAGTACTATAACCACTCAGCTACCCAGCTAACACATGTAAAGCTACATAGATGTTATTACTGTATTACCTACCTTATGAGAGGTCTACTTGCATTTAAAATCCATGATTTGACGATTATGATTGAGTCGAACGACAAACATACTTGCTTTTAACATAGGTTTGTGAAATACCTTGATACTCGATACTTTTCAAGTATTTACTGTTTGTCAAGTCTCGAAATATTCCTAAACTCCAGGAGGCGGTGTTTCTGGCAGAGTTGTGTTTAAATTCTGGCACAGATGAGTAGAAGGGTTGGACTGGTTACTTACAAACATTTGCAAAATATTTACCAACTCAATAAAATATACGGAGAAAATGCTTACTACACCAAATAATGAATATTGCTACTGTATTTCAATAGTGATTTGTTTATTTGAAATATTGTTCTTATTAGTAAAAAAGATTTAGGAAAATTAAGTCGCAACGCAACACAATAGTATATTTGGGACTATAGAGGTGCGTAGAGGTGACTACGTGAGGCCTAAGTTTACAAAAAAAGCGAAACAGAGAATGGAGAATAAGCAGTTTGGTGGGATCGGGTAATATTTAGTGTAATCTTTGCTCAATAGTTCTAACTGATGTTTTTACCTCTGTACTGTATATTGTAATTTGCCAGTATATTGTGGATGCCTTGTTATAAACACACGTGATAAGTATTTTGTTTACTTTTTCTTGTTACTTTGTTCAACCAACATAGTTAGTTGGCAACCCATAAGGCCAATGTTAAATTTTATAATTTTCAAATAACTTCTTGATCAGCATCGTACGTGTTATTAGATTACCTGAAAGCACAAAAATACGTCGAATAACACTTATAATAATATATTTACTGTTTATTATAAATATATTGTTTACTCACAAGACGGTAAATACATATGAAAAAATGGTAAGTGATGATCGATTTCGATTGCACTCATCAGACCCAATAGGTGAATTTTCAAATTAGTTGTGTAGCGAATACGAATTTTCCTGAGGTCGTGGCTGACGTCCTTAAATTCAAAATGTAATCAAAATCCTTCCGCTGGATTTCGAGATATATATTTCAGACAGACAGACAAACAAAAATAGCTTGTATTCGAATATATTATAGGATTTCGATTCAATAGTTAACAATAGTTAATATTGAAATCACATATTGTGTCGAGAAGACTTCCTCCTCTCTTCTGTTCAAGGCCATTATGATTTCATCGTCGCGGCAATTTTCTCACAGATAATGTACAAGATAACTATGCAAAGTGCATGTAACATCTTCGATTATGTTTATTAAGTACCATGGAAAGTACAAAAATTTGCATAGTAGTAAAACTTTATAGTTACATTCATGTTTCATAATACCACTGAACAACTAGAAGGTCCATTTCTATTCTGTGAAAATACATGTTTAATATAGCAGCTATTCAGTCACCCTACATCATCTTCAACTTAAAAATAAAATACGAACTTAAAGTAGGTATAGCTGTCTTAAATTGAAAATGGAAATAGTTTTTCTCAAACCTGGAAACTAATGGCAAAAAGGACTTTGGCACAAAAAAAACATAACTTACTGTTTTCTAAATTGTGTAAAAAAACAACAAAGCGCCAGCTAAGCTGTACCTTACAATAAGAGTAGAGAACTATATAAACACAATCAAGCCTAATGGAAAGTAAAATCATGTAGATTTCTCATCTTTATGGAACAGCTGAAGCCAATTTTATTGTTAATTCTGTCCGGTGCACTGTTAGAGGTCGGGTTTTGTTTACAATTTTTTTACCAGCCATTTCAAACCTCGTAAAAAAATAAAAACATCAATAACTCGTCCCCTTGTTATACAACCAAACAGTAAAGCACAAATCACGAAACTAACTCTAAAATAATATAAATAAATTTCGTTGACAGTAGCGATCAGTGTCACCGTACAAATGATCTAGGCTCGAAAGCGAGCATCAAAATTTACAATGGGATGAGAAGTCTACTTGTGTTGGTTAGACTGTGGTAAAATTGAGTAGAATTCACACCGAAACTGGATTTACAACTTTCAAGAGGATGCGGAGTCGATTGAAATTAATCTGTGTACACTTTTAAAGTGTCATGTCGACTCATCGTTTACGTATTCTATATTGGACTCAGACCTCAGACTGGCCACACTAATGAGCCACAGATAGTTTTACGTTGTCAACACAGTCACAGATTAGATTATATTTTACGATGGCACAAACTAGAGTATTTTAAGGCAAAGATCAGTGAATAAAGAGTGATGAATCAATTAGAAACCAGGATCATTATTGATTGAATTTTCTTTTATAAACCAATTATCAAGGACAGTCCAATTTGTAACAATTAAACAGCCGATGTTGACTTTTCTCAGGACTGAAACGTCTTCAACGTGAAACACGAACCTAACAGGTTTCAGTTCTAACACGACAAGTCTAATTGCACTATTCATAATCGATTATACAATAGTAGGACCAAGGACTTGTATCGTAGTTGATTGCCTTTTGTTTCACTTTCAATGTCTTTCTGGCGTGAATTTTACTCGTGTGGTTGGAAAACGGGGTTATGGAGAGCTAGTTTACTACCTATCATGAGTTTCAGAAGAGGACATAGACTCAGTCCAGTAGGATTTCAGCTCACTGGACTGGAACATCACGAAGAGGAAGAAGATAGTCGAGTCTACTCCTGTAGCTTTTCTAGAAGTAAGAATCTGATGTATATTTTCGATCGATACACGTGTTTTGAATGACGGGATATTGAAGTTATTTTCATACTTTACAAGTTAATCATGCCGATAATGGTATAACAGATTCTATACTTGATATAAGTTTCCCTCATAGTTTTCCTTGGTCTGCCTCATTATTCAAGTAAATGGTGTAACATGGTTAGAGAGAGGCGTGGTCTGTGTCTGTGCTGTGGACGAGCAGATGAAAATAAACTTGTTGACGAAGCTGTGCTGAGATTGAGATCGGCCTTGATTGCTTTTGTTGAGTGCAAATCGCGGAACGTTGCAATCGTGGTATTTCTGTACCATTGATTCATTCGATTGACCATTCGAAACCGTATGATGGTATTTGAAAAACACACAGTTTACCACTAACTTTGATTATAATATTCTTATCCTATTTTTATTTCAACGCTACTAGATGCTTAGTATATTTTACGCTTTTGGAAGGGAGCGCTCGAAGCCCTCGTCTTATTAGCAAAGTTGTTATCGTGCTCTGTAAGTAGTTAAAATAATTTGTCTGGTATATAAAATTCATCGTATAACATAATAGATTGGACTTTTTATTGATGAGCTACCTCATGTTTACTCCAATATTATACATTCATTTAAATACTTATACAAATTTACATCGCTGCCTCCATGGACTGAAAAAGACAGAAATACAACTTGGTTAATGTTTGATGTTGCAATCCTTTTTAAATCGCTTTGGAATTTAATCAGCTGTTGTCTAGACTTCTGAATGTACAATGACGGAAAGTAAAGTTTTGCGGGCCACAAACGAAATCAGCTGTTTTAAACCGTAGACTCAAGTTATTGGTTCAAATTTAGAACATTTAGTATAGTCAGAGTTATAAGAGATGATGCTCATTCGATTACGTTCTCATTTGGTAAAAACCTAGGTACAGCTGGGTATGGTTCAGTCTTCAGTAATATCGGTTTGCACATCAGTTCAAGTAGACTACTCGTCTTTTAGTTTGTTCCCTTGTATCGACGACAGTGGCATTTTTACAGGAGGGCAAAGTACAGTGTACTAAAATAACGCTTTTAGCGAAAGCTGTCCAAACCCATCTTATTGTAAAAATGTGTCAGTTTTGTTGGTTGTTTCAGGCAACTTTTGGCAGCAATAGGTTCTCTCTTGTTACAAGGTTTTTTTCTACTCTTGGGTTATAAATACCATAAAAGTAGTAATATTTTACAACTTTCCAAATGAATATTTAGTTATAACAGTTAAAAATTGTTAAACAATCAGAAGCAAATGAGCAAATACATCAACCCTCTGAATGAACCGGACAAAACCGACCATAAAATTGTCTTCAGCTGATCTATTCAGGATGATAAATTTATAGGGGAGTAGGCTACAATATATGCAGTCTAGGACATAGGACTTAGATCGGCCGGTGGGATAGACAATGAAACGGAAGGTCCACTAATTAAATAATAATATGACTTTTGAGTGGAAGGAATTAACCAAAACAAAAACAATTAACCAAAACAAAGACTCTCAAATCACCTAAGAGTATTATATTTTTTACTTTATTGTGGATAGGGTAGGTTTGGGTGGTAGACTTCAACTTGGACCCAGTGCTAACAAACATTTACTTATGTTGATACCTTTACCTTGTGGTATCCTTTAGCTAATATATTGGCTGTCAAGATAAAATTCCCTGAACCGCAATTTCTTTGTCCGCGGCCACGGAACGGAACGTCAGAGTCACTCCGCCGAGGACTTGGAACCAACTCAAGAGCAATGACACCATCCAGTGTTGCCAACTTTCAAATATTCCGGAAACATTATTGGTCAATACACTATAACTCTCAGAAATAGCATACAGTCGGTCCATTGACTTTAGATGCTGCAAGTAGACTTTTTATCCTATTGTAAAATTTGAAACTTGTGATTTTGTTTGGTATTCTGGTTACAGTCCGCAGTAAGTGTGGTTGTGTTGACCATGGTACATGTATGTTTTTCTCTCATTTTTAAAGGACGTAAGGATTTACTTTTAATGTCCTTTACTTACATCAAGGTTTACTTACATTCATTGTAGAATGGAGTGAATAATGTATTTAGCTGTTTACTGACAAAGATCGGTTGTTTCTCCAGCCAACAGTATTCATTAAATACCAAAGGTCAGGGCAAAACTAAACCCAATTTCGAACCATCAGAAAGCTAGTGACTTTTTGAGAACCTTTCGATTGTTAAGACAGGTTTTATAATAACTATTACTATCCAGCTATGCAATTTACACAATTTCATCAGCAAGAACTCTCTCGACTTCCAAAACAGTCAGGAACATCGCAAAAGACGACAAGATGCAGTACATAACCTGTAGAGAACGCGAAGATTTTAGAACACTAATCAGCTGACCTTGAATTGACAGTGAAGAACGCCAGGAGAGTGACGTCTGGCGTGACAAACGTCGTGATATAACACGCGTCACGCGATATTGTCACGGTGGCAACTGTAGTTTACATCAAGTGTATAGCTTTATTTCACTTTAAAAAAAAAATATATATATATAAAAAACTTGGCTGAACTCACTTTCGTAAGAGTAACTAGAAACATTACCTTATCAAAACACGATTTGAAGAACTCACTTTTGAGAAAAACGTTCTGGGACCTCTTTTTTAAATAAAAAAATATATATTACAAAAGTTATATCATCGGACATTTTTTCAGGGTGAAATTTGAGAAATATAACTATTACTTATACTCTTAAAAGAATTTTAATTAAAAAAAAAAAAAACATTATGAGGTTGATATTTAATTTGGAAGTATCACTTTAGAGGATTCAATTTAGAAACCCCATCTCTTTGAGAGTAGAATTTAACAATTAAATATTATTTCATTTTAAAACATACTTTATGGAGAAATTTTGCAAATATTGTGTTTAATTAAATTGAGTAGGTCTCTTTTTGAGATTGAAAATATGGTTTTAAATCTTAAATTGTTTGAAGGTTGAGTTTTAAAAATCGTCATAATTTATTTTTACCAAAGAATTAAACCAAACGATGTAATGAAAGGGTTTGCTCTCAACAACTTTAAATTCCCTTAACAATCATTCTAGCTTTTCAAAATCTCACTTTATTTAGGATTCACACCATAGTGTAGCGTAGCATCGAATTTTAGAATTGACTATTTATCTATTTAGTAGTAATTGAGACGATATTTTTGGATGCTAGAGTAGACATCTCGTCTATATCTATGGACCACTCGCAGCCAATCTTTGATACGAATATGAACATAGTTATAAATGAGCAACTCACTGAATGGCCTACTGACAAATTGTTTTATCATCTCTTATAGGTAAAAAAAATGCTGTACTTCAACATGTTTACTATTATATTAGTTGACTTTTAATTTGACTCTGCTCATGTTTCTGCTGGTGTATGAGTATTCAACAGAAATCAGTGATAGCTCTATACTCTGTCACAACTTGATATAAAACAGCGTTCAAGTTTATACTAAAACGGTCTTCAACATTGAATAAAAAGTATAGTTCTGTTTGTATAGTCAAAGATTGTCGCCCTATATTCTATTCATTTAGAGTCTTCTTCAGCTATGATCAAATATATCGCTACTGTATGTAATCCTTTTATGCGGCTAGGTCAGAGTTTGTGCAGAATACCCTATAAACAAGTCTTGCAAAGGCTACATGGGTATTTACTGTTCTGCAGTACTGTAGATGTAGTGATGTGTAGAGCCAGCAAAGTAGGGCAATGACAACGACACAAGACAGATGGCACCCTGCCAGTGTACAGGGTGTCTCAGAAATCTTGTCGATATTTCAGTTTTACTTCTGGAGTGTGCTGTGAAATTCTGTAAGAACGCCTGAAGTTTGTCAATTTTTATTAATTTCAGTGTAGTTGAAGGCATTGTTAAGATGTTTGGGTCTAACAGTAATGAAATCAGGCAATCAGCCCTTAATGTTTTACTTTGATCGTGAATAGTAGTAGCAATTTTCTTTCAAGTGGTTTTTGGATGATAGTTGAAATAAGCCACTGACAGAATGCGCTGCTGTCTACTCATTTCTGTACACAGACTTTTTTAATGGCCAAACTGAAAGTAAAACTTACGGCAAATTATCGTATCTTTTATGATACAAAGTACTTTAAATATTTAAAGTAGGCTATTCACTCTATACTCATGCATCACTCATATTCAGATTGAAATATGCATCATTATGTTCCTGTCTCAATCCAATGAAATTGATAACGATCAAGACATTGTTCTTATAAAAAGATAAAAACAACTTGCTAAAGAAGAAAAACTTAATTACTCATAAGATATTTACTTCTCCTACAAAAGAATGATACAGAACATTTCATTTTAATTCCGTCCTCATTGCACCACATCTGGCAGAGATGTGTGATAATGTATTGCACATGTTTGTCAAAATGACTTCAAATCATACAGCTGACGACCAGAATTATAGCTATATTTCTACTGAAATGAATGTTTATCGTAAATTCAAAGTGAAATTTCAATTATAATCGAGTCGCTAGATGATAAATTCTTAACTACGAGACCAGGTGCTTTCCCCTCCCAGATGATGGACTAAGTCCAGCTGGCATGTATCTTCATACGTAAATCCGGACATCGGGAATATATAAACCGTTTCCGCCTCGGTCGCTCAAACCGCGATGTTTTAATCCTTCAAACATCGCCAGTCTTTTAATCTTTTCATTCATATGATGAGTAGGGAAATGATTGTGGTACCGAAATTCTTCTCGTTCACGATTCAACAATAATTTAAAGAATATTGTGGGATATGGTATTGAAGAGTGTAAACATGGACTTTGGACACTGTAAGTGGTCCTCTGTTGTGCAGTAGATCTATTTTGTTAACTATTAATTCAACCAATAATGCTGGTAAATAGTCTTTAGTAAGTCTGGTAATCATAGATCCGGCTAGTGGGTAGCTGAGTACAGTACTTGCCTTATCAAAAGGTATCCGGTTCAATTATGGTAAAAGCCAAGAGCTCTTTAAACGTTTAAACTGGGACAAGCTGTCTTTAATATTGCTCTCAAATAAATGATCCTGATGGCTAAATAAACAGTTTGGTCTTAGACAGTAACAAAGCTACATAGGTCATGTCACTCATTTAGCGTAAAATACGCACCCAGGAGTGCGTTGTTGTCTTAAAGCAAAGCTAAGCACTCACACACATCACAGGCAGTGTTCGCTGATTTAGCTCTCAACGACTTCTCTCATATTGAAAATACTTCCGTTACAAAAACCTGCAGACTTAATTAATTCCTATTTGCCAGATTTGGTTTCACTCAAATATTTCCTTTAAAATGTCAGATTTATTCCCTTTTTGAATAAAATTAGGTGTAATGGGTCAAAGTATATCCATAAATAAACAAACTACAGTTTACTTATTCTCCATAAGAATAAAACAGGTATTTTAAATTTCAGATTTTTTAGTTTTCTTGGTGACCATTTAGCGTTCAGCAACACTTCAACATACTAAATCATTTGTTTTTTAAGCTCTACAAAAGCTTTAAAAAGAAATTGCAAATTTTTATGTTTTGAGGAACTAACTGAGAAACCTCGAACAAACCCCATTCCCATAATCCAATCGTTTTAGTTTGCAAACTCATACGAATGAACAGAGGTTGACACGCTTGTACCAAATTTAAAAAAAAAAAACTGATTATTTTGCCTTGAGTTATCTTGTTATTGTATATAAATATACCAACAAATTTAATCGGTCCTGGGGATAGGCCTTGCTTCACCATGAGACCTTATAGCTTATTCCCCACATGGGAAATTCGGTAATAAGACTCTCCTAAATTATTACTAATTATGGTCTGTTTTACGGTTAAAAAAAAAATGACATGAACCCGAAGAAAGGTGCTGGAGTGTTATGAGTAAGTTAAGGCTTTATAAGTAGGTTCCTGTGGAGGCTGATTAGGTAAGAACCAACAACAAGTAGTACAAGTAGTACACAAGTAGTACAAGTGGCCATTTAACAAATAGCCCGTTCACAAAATTAAAGGAGCAGGTCCCCCCTCCACTGTTTTTAAATAATGTATTGATCAGCTGATCAATTGTTGCAGAGACAAGATGGACACAGTTTACCCGGAGCCGTTGTCCCGAATACTGCGCAGGACAGACAAGAGGCCGAGGGACAGGGGTCGAGGATCAGCTGCAAGATACAGGACACAACCTGTCACCTTCTCTGAGATACAGGTGGGAATACAAATAAATACATTTTGAAAGTCTAGCTTGGAGTAGCTTCTTCGGCCCCTCTTGTTCTCATTGTACAGTACCCTGGTTGATATGTAATCTTAGTAAGTTGTGAGGCACTAATAATTGTAAAAAAATATTATTTTGCAGAAAGACTCATCTCTAGAATGCATTTGAAAGAAATAGCCTTTTAGCCAACGGCATTCTTGGATTGCAGTTTGCATTTTGTTTCGTTGTCTTTGGATTTCTTGATTTCCGTTAGTTAAATTTGTATGGCTGTGAGATACGACCATCTGTAAAAATACTGTCTTTAATTGTTTCGTCCGCTGTTGCTATTGTCATTGTTGCTGTTCCACTGGTTCCAGTTACAAAACGAAACACTCAACAGTAATAATCGCTCGTGGTGACGTGGACTGCGGGTTCCATTCGCTGTGCCGTTGTCTAATAACTATTTAATCGTCATCACTTTTGATCATAATGTTATATACCTAACTGCGCATTTGATTTATTTGCTGTTGGTTGTGGTCCAGCCTTAGGTTTGTGTTTTTCAGTCATGGGGGTTTTTCTCGGGTTATCAAAAGATTTTTTTCAAGCGCCTCAGACCTAAACAAGCGAGAATTAATGTTAATGAGACATGAAGATTACCCAGAAAACATTAAAAAATAAGCCACGGTTGTGTTCTTACCTGTAACATTTATTTTTAACGTGTTTACAGTATCATTTTAAAATTCAAACATCTTTACTTTCGGACCAGTGACATTATTATTTTGTTTATGCTTATTATCTATACAGTTTAATGTTTTAATATCCGTGACCGTGGGTATTTTTATTACAATCTTAAGCTTTAAATCGTGCCAGAAACTTAAAACACGTTTTAAGATAATCGGATAATGATAATGCAATAAGCCACTTCAAATAATGCGTGATATCAACGAGTATTTTTCATCTATGCCGGTACTTAAACTCAACATCTCAAAAATGCCCGTGACAACTAACTTTATTCCTTACGCTGGTGGCAGAATTTTTATTTCAGCTGCAGTTTTTTTATTACGGACAAAATGAGAGCATTCTATTACCTTTACCGCAACGATACGGTTTGGAGCCATCGTCCTCGGTGATCTAATGGATGGATAGCATGTCGGGCTGAGAAGATGAAGGTATGCCAGGGGCCCTATTTTTGAAATGGTTGACTGTTGAGTTGAGTGTCGAGTCATTCTATTTCCAATCGTTTCGTATTTTTGAAACGGTTGACGGTGGACTTATACAACCAAAACTACTCAGCACCTATCGAGCTGTTGAGTGGAGGTTGACTGCACTTTCTTCTTCCTCTCTTTCGGCAAAAAATTACTCTTTTTGAGACGACGCCATATTGTTTTGTTATTGCTTTAATTTACTAATTGCGATTTAGAGGTTATGTATTTGTTGTCAATGTATTAGCACCCAATTATGCGATTGTTTTCTGTAGAATAATCGCATTTTAATTTTATTTACTGTATCAATACTAGACTATTTAATCAAGGGTTTTATTCTTGTTGGAATGTTTGAAATAGACTAGGCATACTAATTGAACTTATTATAAGATAATTATTGTTATTAGACCTATGATTTAATGTATTAAAGATTGTGGTAGAGAGAAACAATATCATAGTTTGTTTCAATACCATTCACCTAATAAAGGGATCAAATTAATTTAAGTTACGATATGCTTTCAGTGCAATGGCAAATAGCCGCTTTAACCTAAATAAAAAACAATTAAAAATGACATAAAACAAACCGATGAAGGAAACTAAAATAAGGTGATGTGTTCCGAAATAGAGACGAAGAAAGCAAATAATAATGTATTTAGGATGAGTGTAGGACCTAAATTAAAGTGCAGCCTATGCCTAAACTTATAATTAGCTACACCCTAAAACAAACACCCATAGTAAATTTTATTTTTAATACTTAAGTTTATTACTTTATTTAGTTTACTTTAGTTTATTACTTAAGTTAAGGTACTTTGCAATCACTAAGATTAAGCAAGACATAACCTCAATCTCAATCTCTCAAGAACGGAGTTGACAGTTTTGAGTTTACCTCAGTGTCTCGAAATATGGCAGATTGAGATTAGCTGCCAGATTTTAGAGTAAGAAGATGTTAAATCGAAGTCCGCAAGAACTCTGCATTGTGATTGGTTCAAAATGACGTCATCTGAATTTTTGACGGTCGTATGCTCTACATTTCCACCACGAGTCTCTCAACTAGTGATTCCCAACTCGCTTCCCAACTGTTGGGTTTCAAAAATACCAAATCATGTTGTTGGTTGAGTTGAGTGCTGACGATTGACTCAACTGTCAACCATTTCAAAAATAGGGCCCCAGGTTCGAATCAAATCGGTGGCACTAACATGTCTAATATTTTTGCATTATCAGCAGGTTTGCTTAGGTTATGACACTTTAATTTTATAATTAAAACATTAAAATTAAATTTGAGGCATTTATAATTTTATTTTATGAACGAACTATTTTTTAGATTAGTGAAAAATTCATTAGATTTTTTCATTATTAGCAAGTTTAGGTAGTTAGGTTATGACAGTTTAATTTTAGAACTAAAGAATTAAAAAATAAATTTTATATTTTTCTTTGTTTTATAATTTAAATTTTTTTTATTTCTCATTTTTAACTCTCATTTAGTCCGTATTAAACAACTGCAGCTGAAATAAAAATTGTGCAGTCTGGTGATGTGAGTTGAATAGTGTGGCTACATGGTAGTCAACCAGCCCAGCTTTTTATATGCGGACATGAAGAAGAAGAAGATCTTGAGAAGAAAAAGAAGAACATATCACCTAACACTTAACCTGTCTGTCACTTTATCAAATACTGTCATGTCATTCGCTACTGATAGTGAGACGATGATAATGATGACATGCATTTTCGTTAAGAAAACTAAAAGAAAAGCTAGAAAAGCTCACTTTAATTTCTTAAAAGATAGTATTTTTTACTGTGGTTTGTGGACTTAAACTAGTGGGTTTCGTGTGTGTTTTAAAGTGTTGTGATGTAATAAGGTAATAAGGTAATGTATGTGCTAACAAAGTCTTAGTGGTGCTGGTGCCGGTGAGTAATCTTATTTTGTTTCTACGTGATAAGAATTTTGGTTTAGCTTAGTCCTGAATAAATTTGAAAAACTGATAATGTTAGTGAAATTCGCTCATGCTCATGAATATAGGACCAGATTTTTTATTTGCCGTTATAATTAGCCTAGTGCTGGTATTGTGATTTGTTCCAAAACATTTTTATATGTAGGTAACTTACCTAGGCCTAGACAACCTTGAAAAGTGTAGGTAGGCCTACATATGTTTGTGTAGGTACCTATTATGTTAGGTATATGTTGTTAAATGCTATTTTAGACTTGTAAATTTTGCCGGAATCCGATTATTTAGGCTGGAGAATTAAAGGTTAGTTTAGGCCTACCTACTTCACTGCCTCTCACAGACTAGGTTAGTGATGGAACGGCTGCACTTTACTTTAGGTCCTACACTCATTCGAATGAAAATATTGGTAATTATTTACCCTATTTACACTGGGATTTGATGTAATTTTGATATGTCTACTTACAGTATTTTTAACGCTGAATCCAAAAATGCAATCAGTTTTGGTCGGAGAGATTCCTAAGTGGCCGTACAATTATATAATTAATATTAAGCTTCAGTTTTGTTGATTTACTAACATATTTATGGTATGGACGAGTCCAAGGATGAGTCGGTTCATTATAACCTAACATTTACCTTCCTAATCTAACCTCACTTCAAAACACTTAATACAGTCACGAATCCGCATATAACCCGACTTACCTTCCTCACATGCCTAAATAAGAACTGAACTGATTATTTGGTTTCAAAACTAATTGATTTGACTTCATTCCGCATTAGATCAAGTATAAACAGTTGTTTGCTCTTCTCACTCAGTCCTCACTCCTCACTCTTCACTCAGTACGGACCCGTCCAGCTCCAGACCACGCCATATTACCATTACCCAGTACAGTACAGCAACCGCACCACTCAATTATCCTTAGATTCGTAATCCTAACCTTCGTTTTACGGCCACTTGGGAATCTCTCCGACAAAAACTGATTGCATTTTTGGATTCAGCGTTAAAAATACTGTAAGTAGACATATCAAAATTACATCATATCCCAGTGTAAATACGGTATAAATATTTGCCAAAATATCGATTAGGTTTTTGATTGTTTCATTCGATATATCGTTTGGTTAGTTAGGTTATGTTAACCTTATTTAACTTACCAAACGATCCCTATCGGATTGTTTAATTCATTTCATGATATTGGATTCCTAACCAACCAAACGATATATCGAATGAACCAATCGATTAATCGATATATCGGTCAATATTTTCATTCGAATGAGTGTCATTTGACTAAGAAAACGATTTGTTATTCGATAGTTATGTTGTTTGTTATTCAATAGCTACGAGAGCTGTTTGAATATTTTTTTTTAATAGATTTGGGTAATCTTAAGTTTATTGGTTTAAAAAGTTTGTAAGTAAAATGCCTATGACAGTAAGATATTAGTGTGTTTTGTTTGAGTAAATTTATTACAAATTAATTATTTGAAAACTATCCCACATATCTAACCTTTCATCACTACTATAACTATTTGTTCAAACTATTATTTTATCACTGAAGCGTTCTGGGAATATGTAGGCCTAGGCTACCGGTGCAGATTAACTGGTGACACCGGTACCGCCCCGTGGCAAGAGTCTTGGTATCCCAGAATGATTAGTCACCGGTTTACGGTACACATCGGACATCCACCTACTATTTAGTTTATAATATTAAAATCAATCAAACTTACCCTCACAGAATAATTTTTTTATTTAATTATTTAGGCCTACGGTACTTAGGTTATGATATAATAATCGTAATAAATTGAAAGAATAACAAACAAATGAGTAAAGCTCAGGTTTTTAGCGAATTTCCCTATAGGGAAGTAGCTATTACCGTAGGTGGCAGAGTAAGACCTAGACCCGGGACCGATTTACTTTTTCATTTGATGTCCCCAGAGGCCAAAAACATAATTCGTTCAAATTTTTATATATGTATATATATTGAATAAATATATCGTTCACTATTGAGGGCTACTATTATTATTAATAAATGAAATAAATAATTAAACATTTAGTACCCTTTTTTTAACTTATTAATTTATTGAATAAACTAACATGTTTCGGCTCTTAGGCCATGATCACAGTTATGAACAAATAGTAAATAAATAGAAATGTAAATAATAAATAAGTAAATTATCATATGATTTTGTACAACAACTTAAGCCAACCTATATACTAGACAAAATTCCAAAATCATATGATAATTTACTTATTTATTATTTACATTTCTATTTATTTACTATTTGTTCATAACTGTGATCATGGCCTAAGAGCCGAAACATGTTAGTTTATTCAATAAATTAATAACTTAAAAAAAAGGGTACTAAATGTTTAATTATTTATTTCATTTATTAATGTATATATATAGGCCTATATATATACGTCCGTGAACGCGATAACTTGAGTAATTTTTGTCCGATTTTGATGAAATTTGGTTTAAAGGTGTAAAGCAGGATAAACTTGAATGAGTTCGCGAACCAGCATGATCGGACCATGGGAACGGTGCTTTACGGGGGGTTTTATGGGGTAAAAATTGGTTTTTCACACTTTTGACCCTCAAAACACAAAATTTCCCAATTTCTCTTTAGACCTTTTTAAAGAGCTTAAAAAACAAATAATTTAGTATATAAAAGTATTTTTGTTCGGTTATTAGTAACGGAGAAAAAATAAAATTGTAATTAAAAATTCCCATATTATTTTTATGGAGAATATTGTCAAATGTTGTAGTTTGCTTGTTTATGGATATATTTTGATCAAACTTGGCAAATCTATTTATTTTGTACTAACTTAAGCTATCAATATTTTACTAAAAAACACACTTTATTAGTTTCCTTGTAGCAGCAAACCTGGGTACTCGTTAAACCTAATGTTATTAAAATATATTTAATTGAAAATCAATTCAGACAGATGGAAATTCGCTTAGCCGGCAGGTTTGCTGCGGCGGGGGTATTTAACATTAGGTAGGCTATATGGAAAGTTCCCGTTGGAAAGGAATTACTTCCTTAAAGGGCAACTTATGAAATAGGCCTAATGGATAGTTTTGCGCAAGGTTTCTTGTCATGATGAACATTTTTACCGGTACCGGTACCTATATGGTTTATGGGGGTGTGACTTGTAGCTTTCTCAAAAGTTCATGGGTACTTTGGGACATATGGATATCGGATTGAAAAATAAAATATCAAAAAGAAATTATCGATAATAATGAATGTTCCCATTAATAGGGAAGTACCGTTTTTCCTAAATAAACCTATTAGTATTCTTTATCATTTAATTGATAGAAATAACTAGATGGAGTGAAGGTGGCGCTAATTATCTGGATTCTGACTATCAGGATACTGTCCGTTCTATTCCGCGAAGTGTAACCTAAGTGGCATGTAATTGACATGGTTAGTTTTTGATGTTTCAAAACTAAACACAGTTATTCTTGATTACTGTCTCCCAATAATGGTTAAAGCTAAATGAACAGCTGGTCTCAAATCAGTAACAAATCTGTAGGCCTACAAGTTTATTCACCTTCCATTCGCTGAAGGTATTTTCCTACCTAGGTCTAAATAGTACTAAAATGACATATTATTAGTTCGGCCGCTTAGAAAGCTACCTCCTAGTTTACCTAACGATCACGTAAAGAGAAACAAGTAGAAAATTTAAAGTACGAGCCTTGGTGAGTGCCTTAAAAACTTCTACAAGTGTCGTTAAGACTATTTTTTCAAACTCAAATTCAAATAGTTTATTGCCATTAAGTATACATGTCATACAATAGGCCAGGTCAATGGAGATAATTTACAACTCAAAGTATAGTTAAGTAAACAAGTTGGGTACCTAAGTGCCTATATTAAAATAATTAGGGCTAAAATTGGCAGTGAGATACAGCTTAAAACTAAATGACAATAGATTTTTAAATAAAGTTAACAGCATGAAAGACTATTATATCACAGTTCATGTAACCATTGTTACATAGGTACTTTAGAAACAAGTACTTGGGGACCGAGCTTTGCTCGGGGAAAATCATTAGTTCACTCTGAAAGCAGTCTTAGTATTGGAGATACATAAATCCATTCCCAAACTCCACACGGCTCGCCTTTACTTTGTCCTACACCATTTCCTACGTCATGAACCTGTTTCCCTCCATTCCCATAGCACTTTAGGATTGTAGATACCTTAATCTAATCGTTATTAACAGTTCCCACACTCCGGACAGCTCGCCTTGACTACTTCCTTCACCACTTCCTACGTCGCAAACCTGTTTCCTCCCTTCCCATAGCATTTCAGAATTGAAGACACCTTAATCTAATCGTCATAAACAGTTCTTACGCTCCATACTACTCGCCTTTACTAATTCCTTCAACACTTCCTACGTCGCAAACCTGTTTCCCTCCCTTCCTATAGCATTTTAGGATTGCAGATACCTTAATCTAATCGTCATAAACAGTTCCCACACTCCAGACTACTCGCCTTGACTACTTCCTTCACCACTTCTTACGTCGCGGACCTGTTTTCCTCCCTTTACATAGCATTGTAGGATTGCAAATACCTTGATCTAATCACCATAAACAGTTCCCACGCTCCAGACAGCTCGCATTGACTACTTCCTTCACCACTTCCTACGTCGCAAACCTGTTTCCTCCCTTCCCATAGCATTTCAGAATTGAAGACACCTTAATCTAATCGTCATAAACAGTTCTTACGCTCCATACTACTCGCCTTTACAAATTCCTTCAACACTTCCTACGTCGCAAACCTGTTTCCCTCCCTTCCTATAGCATTTTAGGATTGCAGATACCTTAATCTAATCGTCATAAACAGTTCCCACACTCCGGACTACTCGCCTTGACTACTTCCTTCACCACTTCTTACGTCGCGGACCTGTTTTCCTCCCTTTACATAGCATTTTAGGATTGCAAATACCTTAATCCAATCACCATAAACAGTTCCCACGCTCCAGACAGCTCGCATTGACTACTTCCTTCACCACTTCCTACGTCACGGACCGGTTTCCCTCCCTTCCCATGGCATTTTAGGATTTCCCATACCCTAAATTTTACCATTAGGATACCATTTTAAGATTTGCCATATCTTATTGTCATAAACAGTCCCCACACTCCGGACTGCTCGCCTTTACTACTTCCTTCATCACTTGCTACGTCACGGACCTGTTTCCCTCTATTCCCATAGCATTTTATGATTGCCTTTACTACTTCCTTCACCACTTCCTACGTCGCGGACCTGTTTCCTTCCCTTCCCATAGCATTTTAGGATTGCAGATACCGTAATCTAATCGTCATAAACAAATCCCAGACTTCGCACTTCTACCCTTGACTACAATGTATCGAGTAATCTTCAGTATAATCTTTGCTCAATATTAACAAGTGATGTTTTTCCTTTTGTACTGTATTTGTAATTTGCTAGTATACTGTGGGTAATTGGCTTATTATGAACACATGCTACAACTTCAAGTCTTTTGTTTACTTTTTCCTTGTTATTTAATTCAGCCAACATGGTTACCTAGCAACCCATAAGACTAATGTTAAAAAAATGTGATTTTCAGTTTCATTTTTCTACGTAATTAGATTTTTGTTGGCAGTTCTAACTGCATTAAACTCGTTTTTAGGCCAGGAATAAACTATTTACAATATTTGAAGAAAATCGTCGGAGCCGTTTTCGAGATCTTTGTGCAAGCAAGCATACATACATACATACATACATACAAGCAAACATTGCTCATATTAGAATATAGGATATCCTACTTAACAATTAGAATTTTACAGAAAATCATCATGTTTGAAAGATAAAAATTCCTCGATAGAGTAGATAAACTTTCTGTTCAAAAAATCGGTCAATACATTTTTCAGTGACTTAATAGGCAAGTTGCATACAGTTTCAGGGAGGACATTGAAAAGTTTGAGTTGTAAATATTTATAGCTGCGCTGTGTTGAGGCCAGTCTTAATTATGGTAACTCTAAATCATTCCTTAGTCTGGTGTAATGATTGTGAGTTAATGAGCGAGATGAGAATTGTTCAATATTTGATTTTACAAATATGATATTCTGCAAAATATACACACTTGGTAAAGTGAGAATTTTGTATTCAGGGAAAAAAGTCTTACAACAAACCCTACTTTTTATACCAGCTAGGATTTACGCGAGTTGTGTGTACTACTTTACATACGCCAGTGTTGTAATTACTAACAATCACTAGGCCTACTCATAACTTCTAAGAGAGGTTTACAATTTTAATTCTTCTCTCTCCAATCCTTGATCCTCATTGGTCCATTACCCGTGTTGTTGTTAAGTAAAATAGCAATGCTGTTAAGTAAGTAAACAATGCTGCTATGAGAATCTTTTCAATTCTAAGGACTGAACTGAACGGCCACTTTAAAAAAGGGTTGTAGACCAAAGAAATTTATATAATTGTAATTACTAACAAAACTAATTCATCTCTATTGTTGAAGGAAGTGGATGAGGAGAACTTGGAAGAAGATACCATCGAGACAAACAACAACGCTAACCCTGTCCTGGCAAGCAAGTCCGAGCATGATCTCAAGACTAGACTAGACAACCTCCTGAGTAGCGAGCAGACTCGAGCACCTCGTAAGCGAACACTCAAGAGCATCAACAGACTCACGGTGAGTGGCTCATTGAGTTTTACTGAAGATAGATGTCCTGTCTATGTTCCAGCATATTTTTTTGTTTCAAAAAGAACATATCTAGGTAATGACAATTAAGTTGAACTAGAGGCCGACGTTTAACTATCAATATCAGGGCAAACTACTATTCAACTGAAGAGGGTCGTTCATGTAGTATTAGGTTACTAGAGAACCCGTGCGGCTTAATGAGCCGCATAGTATGAAACATAACGCCTAGGAAAACCTTATGCTTAAATTCGAGTAACTTAAGTTACATCTTAGAGTTGCTTGAAAATTTGTTAGAACTAATTTTAAATATCTCTATTGGCGTCGTCAAGGTTCACCTACTTCTCTAAGTTTAAAGTAATTAAAGTTGGTTCATTTTATTTCTTTGATTTGAGACATCCCCCTGATCAAACGAATTTTCTCCGTAGAGTAACCTGAAAAGTGGGGTGATATCAACCATTTAATGTGCCGGTGCTCCATTTTTTAACCACAAAATCTGGGTTACCAACTGGACAGCCATAATCTGCTTTGAATAGGCTAAAGCAGCAACGCCATTGAAAGATGGTTAACGCGTAATTTGACGTCTTGTCTGTCAGTCACAGGGTTTATTCCATTGTCTGTCAGTCATAGTATATGCCCCGCATCAGAACATTCTCACATTGTTCAGTGCAGTTTCTCTTAATACCTTTCCCAAAGTTTTGAAAGTATGGATACATTTGTCGAAATAGGTTGGTTCTTGTAGCTATAATATTTGGATAGCAATTTTACTTTTCTCTTTTTGAACAGTGTAGGCTATATTATTTGCCTCTCCTGAATCATAAAAATAATCTTGACCGTAACTACTCGATCGTTTAATACATAAACACTAATTCCATCACTTATGTATGGTCTAATATTGCCACTAAAACTTTTAATAGCAAATGAGTTTATGAAACTTCTTATTTTTGACTTGAAATGTCTGGATTTTGTTGGTGAATTCAGTAAAAAAAAAACGTAGGCCTATAAAATTGTCCGAGGAACTGGCAACATAACATAGTAGTAAACAATCCATTTACGTTTTTTTTTTTTCAATTGAAGTAGAGCGAGTAATACAAAAGTTTACGATAAAAACATAAGGTCCGCCAAGATTTGGGTTAAACTTACTACTTGAACTTATCATAGTCAAGGTATTATTATAGTTTCTACTAAATGTTTTGAAATGTCCCGATCTGTTAGTGTCTGAAGTAAACATTTCTTGTATGCCTTAATTTGATCTGACATTAGGCAAGTTTATTTTCCCACCATGACAACACTAAGTTGCATAGCAGTGGCAATTTGTATTCAGCTTACCAAGTGAATGTGTATCTGGATGGGTATCTGTTAGACCAGGCCTCTATTTTTCTACTCTCCTCAGTCCTCATACGCACCAGATATCTTATTATTAATTGTGTCCTCCTCCCGTGTTCAATATTTCTTCTTTGAACTTGAGGCATTTTCTGTTCTTCCAACAAAACTGACTTAACTGTTTAACTTGATCTTAACCTACTAAATATTACAAACATCAATATTTACTCCCAAAAAGCTAATGAGTTCCTTTTTATAAACAGCTGTTTTTTGTTTTTAAATTTGTTCTATGTATTTCTTATGGGGAAAACCCGACTTTTGAGAGGGTCTCCCACCCTTAAGAGCAAGAATTTTAAAATTCTAAAACCTTATTGCATAACTACATATTGAGACGAATCTTTTGACACCTCAAATGTTGAAATTGGTCCACAAATAAGGGAGAAGTTGCGTTAACAAAAAACGGCTTCACGTATTATATATATAGATTAGGTAGGGGTGGAGAAAGTAGAACGCGCCAAAATGTTTTAGAGTTCCGGCCTTTTATGGAATGTAGTTTCTCAGGGGGTGGCTGATACTTGTAAACTTGTATACAGTACTATTTTCGATATCTGAATAAATTTCTGGGCTACTCTTCAATAGGCTAGTAGTTTATTTGTCGGGACCACGTAAGTTTGCAGTTGGTGGCAGCCAATCACAAGACGAGGCTAGTGCGATGTTGCCACATCACCCATTGACAACACTAATAAAAATATACAAAGCTTTATTTTCAAATCAGCTGGTATTGTTAGATTTGGCAACACCACACCATTCTCATTGGTTCATTGAAAACCATATGGTAAATAGGCTCCTCCCTCAACTGCAAACTTATGTGGTCCCGACAATAGTTTGTTTTTAAGTTAATAGCAAATTGAATTTATGTTTTTTTTTCTATGGACTCAAATATTTTCCTTTTAAGGTATTTAGGGTTTAAGGGGCTAGAGGTACCAATGATTTTTGTACTGTCAAAGTCTTTAGGCAGGGCACACTGGAGAAACCTGTTTCAGGAGACTGGTGTCATACAATTGGTTTAAAGGAAGCATTTTCTTTAAAAAATGCTCACAGAAGGAACAGGTTTCGATCAGTTTCGTAATATGAATTTGGATGATGATAATGTGATTATATCGGTTGTGGCTAAAGAAAAAGAAAAGAAGGAAGTATTGGGTTCACTCGTTGGTTAGGGATGGTCAACACAGTACTTACGTTTTAACTTGTCAATTGTGCTGTGATCCTTTCAAATTTAAGGATTTTTTAGAATGTCATAGCCTCTTTTTGATCGTTTGGTAGAATCGCTTAGCTCACTAATAACAAAGAAGTACACCAACTGGAGGCCAGCTCTGATTGCTGTGGAAAAAATATCAATAACACGTCGTAGTGCATAAAACCACAAGAAACGCAATACTGCATCCTCTACAAAATCGTTTTTTTTTTTTTATGACCCAGTTTGCAAGAAACCTGCAACATTGTGCACAGCCCTTTGTTTAACTAATCAATCTGTTGCAAGCAACTTAAGTTTCTCGATTCATTGAAACCGGTTTCCTGAAAAAGGTGTCTTCCTGCCTAGCTCTGTGGAGTGGCTGGCCATGACAGAATGATCGTCACAGTTTTTGGTGTTGCGAATGTGTCTTTGATCCTGGTAGATACCAATCTTTCTTGGTATGTGCCAGGATCGCAAAATGAGTCATGTTGGAGTGAGATTATCTGTGTTGCTTTGTAATAAAAAAGCTTCTCAAATACAAAGAAGAGCTGTTCTTAGTCGATTGACGAAGAACAGCTCTTCATTGGCCTATGTGATGAAAAGGCAATGATCCTCTATGCCTAGCCTGAAGTAATGTGTAAAATTGTTCTAGACTAGAGCATTAAGTCCTAGGATGTGAAGGTGGAAAATATAAAAAACACAGTATAGTAGGTACACATAGTCTTGATCTGAGTCGTTTAAACAAATCACCATATGAATTTGAAAACCCATCTCTGTTGATCACGTCTTTAGTTTATAACTTATTGAGTTTTGCCTGTTCCAGGTGGAGGGTCGCCCCACCATGGGTAACATCCCCGCTTCACCAGAATCACCCCCGGAAGCCCCGACCAGTAGACTCCTCACTCTGCCTCGGACTTCCATTTAAGGTCCCCTTCATGCCTCTTCACTCTTTTTTATATTTATATCTTTGTTTACATGTGTATACTATTGTACTTATTGTAAGATAACATTATTGTTAATCTCGTTGGTATTAGTTTCTTTACCTTTTTTATTGCCTAAACATTCTTAAAATTACCCAGAAATTTTATCAAATTGGGTACTTTACGGTGATTGCAGAGAATGGAAATTGAAATTCCTTTTAACAGAAGTTAATCATTTTAATATTGACTAATAAAGGTATAAAGTTACTGACCTGTCTAAACGATGCAATGTATATAATTAATTGCCAGTGATTAGGCCTACTTATTTGTAACAATCTAAAATAGACGTTTGTTGAAAATGTCAAGCTAGGAATAATATTACTCTATTAAAGAGTTTTGCATCTTAGAACGGACAGCCTCACATATAACACTGGCTCACAAGAAACAGAGTAATTCATAACTTTACTACTCCTAGGCTGCAGCTCATGCAACTTTCGTCCATTGACTTTTATTTATTCTTTCTTTCATGTGAATGTTTTGTTAAGTTATTTGTGATGGCCATCGGTCTTTGGGGTTTAAGTGGTTAGTAACTTGCCTAAAGCTTGACTAAAAATCCTTTACTCTAAATTCATGTTTTCACAAAATGAGATTATTTTTCTCCTTCAATAAAAACTATCTATGAGTAAAAAACTACTAATCTTAGCACAGCATAAGTCAATTATTTGAACTCCAACCATCCTAATTGCCAATTATCCAAATCACTTAGGCCTACCAGTACAGAAAGAATTTTAAAAAACCTCAAACTATAGTAAAGAATCATTATTAAAGATTGTTAAAGCCGTGATCAGAGTAAAATATTGAAAACCTCCTGCAGTCTAGTAGACATTATCTGATTGCCCGTGCGGTTCCCGGGCTAGAATAGGACCGCAGCCTCCCCCGGCTTGTCGTAAGAGGCGACTAACAGGGGTTGGGAGATCCTTCTCTTCATGCTCCCAACTTTCTCTGAGGCCAAGTTTCCTTCTTATCTCTGGCTTGGTCCTCAAATCTTTTGTCTTTTCTTTTATTCTTCTTTCTTCAACTCCATTTCGGAGTTCTTTCCTTCTTCTTTGTCGACCGACGGGCTCTATTGAGCCTTGGGAGTACTCGCCCTGTGGAGAGGGGCTGATTTGTGTCTCGCACTGCCGATGGGACTCTTTGGTGCATCGTCAAGGACAAGCCCCTCTGTGTCGTAGTCAGGAAGTGCAGCAAACTTCAAACAGCCATTCGACCTTCAGTTCTCATGAGGATTTAGCAAAATTTTAGTGCATTGAGGTATGGCAATCTATTATTTTGCAAGTATTTCTAAATTCAAGTAGTCAAAATTAACAGTAGGGCCTACTGAAACCAAATCAGTATAGTAGTTTACGCAACGATTGTGATAGTGTTAACGACACTCATACAAGTTCTTAAGGCACTCGCCAAGACTTGTACCTTAAATTTTCTACTTGTGTCGTTAACACTATCTCTACACAATAGTTGCGTAAACTACTATACTGATTCAGTTATTTAAACACGAGTTGCGTACACTACTTTACCTTCAACAGTGTTTTAATTACTAAAAATCACTACCTACTCATAACTTCTAAGAGCGGTTATGTTTTTGTTTATAACCTCTCATTACCACTGACAGTGATGCAACAAAACATTGTACCAAACACTAATTGCACCACTCAAACAATAAATTGGCCTGAATAGCTTATTATTTCAAATTGGTATCATTACAATTTTACTTCTTCTCCCTCAATACTTGAACCTCATTAGTTTAATAATTACGGTTGTAGGTAAAAATATTTTACACCACACTACACTGTTTCAACGAACTTCCCACTCATTAATTTACTCATTTACTCCAGAAAACAGATATTCTCCACCAGTGATAATCAACTGGGGTTCCTATGGTGTAAATATTGTACCTCACTTGTCCAAAATGTGTTTACCGGACCTTCTAGGTAACTTCATATTTAGAGTTGTTTTGTCTCTGGATCACAGTACAAACTATAAAAGGTATAAAGTTACCTGAGTAAGTTACTGCCAAAGTGATCCTGTTTTATCCTTACGGATTACGCGTTTCGAAGACTAAATCTTCATCATCAGATCTTGTACAAGAACATATACTATCACTTCGAAAAGGTCGTCAAATGTTTACATACAAAACACGGACACATATTATATACAAATGTTGACATTACGAATAAACTAAGTAGGCCTACCGACGAAAACTTATGATGTCCGACCGCACAGTTACAGGTGAAGGTCATGACTGAGATGCGGGAGACGGTCGGGCGGTGGACTTTGTACCTCTCGGTTCCTTATTCATCAGCTGTACTTGGTTTGTTATTAGAGTGTCATATAGAGCATTGGACTGGAAACTGATTTTGTCGTTTAATAATGTCTTAGGTTGAATTTTGGTTGATTTATAAATTTCAAACTCTTCTAAAGCGTCCATAACATTGCCTTTGTTGCAGAAATGTAGAGGGGTTAAATTCGTGTTAAAATCACTGTAGTTATGGTTTTCATTTACAAGATGTAATGCGAAATTGGACTTGAGATTATTACTTGCTTTAGGTAAATGTTCTTTGAATCTAGTTTGAAATGTCCTGCCTGTTTGCCCAATGTAAATTTTGTTGCAATCGTCGCATGATAATTTATATATACCAGTTCTGTCGGCTGTATTGTTAACTCTATTTTGATCAGCATTGTTGAGTAATTTTTGCAGTTTGTTTGATGTTTTAAAGGCGATGTTGATGTTCTTTTTTCTTAATTCGTTTTCTAGAATGTTTGGTAACTTATTACCAAACTCCGAAGTTACGTATACTTTTCTTTCATTGGGTTTAGCTACATTCCTAGTGTTCTTTTTCTTTTATTGTTTTTTAATGATCTTATCTATTATAACGGGATCGTAACCATTTTTATGCGCGATATATTTAATAGTAGTTTTCTCTTTTTCAAAGTTTTCAGAGCTTAGTGGAATTGATAGAAGCCGATGAACGAAACTGTTGTATGCAGCCATTTTATGTTTAACAGGATGGTGTGATGTTTCATGAATTGTAGTATCTGTTGAGGTTGGCTTTCTGTAAATATCGAACGTGAAATGTTTGTCACCTCGTATGATAGTTAAATCCAAGAAATTGAGTTTATTGTCCTTTTCCAGTTCTATTGTAAATTGAAGTTTAGGGTGGATATTATTAATGTATTTATTAAACAGCTGGAGTTGTCTTGTATTGCCGTCAAAAAGTGTTGCTATGTCATCAACGTATCTGTGGAAAAACATAACCTTATCTTTATAGCGGTTGTTATCTGTCCAGATGTGTTTTCCCTCAAAATCGTTGAGGTATATTTCAGCTAGTATTCCTGATAAGGGTGATCCCATAGCCAGTCCATCTGTCTGTGTGTAAAATTCATTATTAAAGGTGAAATAGTTTTGTTGTAAGACAATTTTTGTTAATTTTATCAATTCGAATTGATAAAATCGAACTAGCAGGACATTTCAAACTAGATTCAAAGAACATTTACCTAAAGCAAGTAATAATCTCAAGTCCAATTTCGCATTACATCTTGTAAATGAAAACCATAACTACAGTGATTTTAACACGAATTTAACCCCTCTACATTTCTGCAACAAAGGCAATGTTATGGACGCTTTAGAAGAGTTTGAAATTTATAAATCAACCAAAATTCAACCTAAGACATTATTAAACGACAAAATCAGTTTCCAGTCCAATGCTCTATATGACACTCTAATAACAAACCAAGTACAGCTGATGAATAAGGAACCGAGAGGTACAAAGTCCACCGCCCGACCGTCTCCCGCATCTCAGTCATGACCTTCACCTGTAACTGTGCGGTCGGACAACATAAGTTTTCGTCGGTAGGCCTACTTAGTTTATTCGTAATGTCAACATTTGTATATAATATGTGTCCGTGTTTTGTATGTAAACATTTGACGACCTTTTCGAAGTGATAGTATATGTTCTTGTACAAGATCTGATGATGAAGATTTAGTCTTCGAAACGCGTAATCCGTAAGGATAAAACAGGATCACTTTGGCAGTAACTTACTCAGGTAACTTTATACCTTTTATAGCTTCTAGGTAATCCCGCACTCGACTTTGTTTTGCACGGGAACGGCCACACTCGTCCGGTAAATACCTATTTTCAGGACTAGTAACATAATATACTATTTCAGTACTGTTTATTTCAGTGTATGCTGGATTACTGTCAGTTTAAAAGTTTATTTAAATAGTTGATTTTTTTTTGTAGATATGCTGATTGGTCTCTTGGTGTGTCGTCAGCGACCAGCTCCATCAGGTCATAGTCAGGGACTGCAGCATGATACAGTCACAAGACTCTGGGGATTATCTTCGACCTTCTACCCTCAAGAGAATTTAACTTAGTGAGGTATGGCTAACTATTAATTATATAGCAATTAATCAAGACTGACAAATTTAAATAATAATAGTTATTGGGCAAAATTAAAAATCTTCAATTAAAACTTTTAATTTTGTCAATCATTTAGCCTATGAATTTTTCATGATCAGGATTGAAACCCTCGTTAAATCCTGAAAATAATTAGAACCCATAGAAATTTTGATAAGAACTAAGAAGTAAAATTAATTAACCAGATTCAGTATTGCTTGCAGTTAATAATTGATTTAAAGGTGTCAGAAGTTTTAAGGAATGGCTTAAATTTATTTTTACCGATTGCTTGGCTATAAAATAATATTGCATGACTAGGAGTAAATTGCTGGATAAATATTGGCTCAATGGATATGTTTCTGACATAATGATGTCTTTTGGCAAAAAATATGATTGTAACTCATGTAACTAAGGAATATAATTTATTTAATTCTCATTAGATGTTTTACAATTAGTTTTTACAATTTTAGAAGCTTATGTGGACACAAATTAAATATATCAGTATGAAAAAAAAATTGCTTTTGAGTTTAAAGGGAAAATTAGAAAATACTATTCTAGTTAGGACACTGCTTTTGTCATTTGAAAATAAGCTTAAGCTCAGTAGATGTAACTCATTGAAAACCTTGCTATTGCACCAGTGTATACAACTACTGATGGTTAATTTATCAGTAAACGATGATAATTATACTTCACTTGGAGTCAAAAATTGAGGTGCACTAAATGATTAATAAAGTAGAATTTATTTTTAGCGAATTTCCCTGCCGGAAAAGGGAAGCACCGGTAGCTATTACCCTAGGTGGTTTTTTATGGTTTATCATGGCTATTACACCTGGGTCCGGGACCGATTCACTTTTTCATTTTGATGTCCCTAGAGGATAAAAACACTATTTGTTCAAATTTGTATGTATTTTTTGTGAACGCAACAACTTGAGTAAATTTGGTTAGAAGGTTTAGGGCGGGATAAACTTGAATGAGTTGCAAACCAGCGAGATCGGGTCATGGAGACGGGGTATTATAGGATTTTGAAAATGTAAAAAATTTGGTTTTTTTCAACATTTTACCCTTATAGGATGGAAATGCCACGATTTTCAATACAACGATCATGTAGAGTTGAAAAAAGACAAGTAATTTTGAATATTGTGAAGCGTGTTTGTAAAATTAAATGCTATGGAGAAAATTACAAAAAAAAAACTGAACATTATGTTTATCTTATGAAGAAAAGAAAAAAAATTGTGGTTTGCTTTTGGTAAAATTAGGCAAATTCATTTATTTCATCCTATACTTTTTACATTTGGACAAATGACACTTTTTACCTTCCCTGTAGCAGCAAACCAAAAGCACTCGTTAAATTTTATGTTATTTAAATGTGTAATAAAAAATGTCATTTATGGAAATATTTTGGTAAAATTTGAATCAGACAAATTGAAATTCGCTTATTCTACAGGTTTGCTGCACCTAGGGTATTATTGAATGAACGAAGTGAATTCTCATACTGGTGTGAAATGCATCTTTATGTTGATCGAAATCTCGAGAATGACTAAAGTTATAAACTTGATGTGTTGCACAAAGATTCTATACCACTTTATCTTGCGACCATTAGTTGTTCAAAAATATTTGTTCCGTAATTATTATAAAATCTTAAAAAAACATTTTTAATTTTGTCCCATAAGATTAACATTATGAGCTACCTTCTTCTTCTTTTTATTTGTTTACATTTTACGACCTACAATTTTGTCGTTTACTTGAGACAAAGAGAACGACTATTCTTTCATCCATAGAGTAACAGTCATGCCGTATTCATATTATAACTCTACAATTTCTAGGATAATAATGTATTTACGAAAATACTGGCAGGAGTTAACAAATTATCTACTAAAATGTATCGCAATTGATTGAAAAATAAATATTTACATGTTTATTCTACAGGCTACGTTTCTTCAGTAGGCTGTGCTATATAATAAGTACGTCGCGACGGTAAACGATGCCGTGGGTGAAAGTCTACTATATTGTTGCCTAACTTGCTAAAAGCTGTTTTATCTATGCTAAAAGTTAAGTGTTATCTTTGACTAATTAATATTATATTAGATAAGATTTTACTATCTAATAATCAATGGTTTTAGTTATTTTCGTTCTGGTTGTTCTAAATTAAATTTCATTAAGGCCTCGCGTCGGTGACTTTATCTATTCAGTCAGTCATTCAAATGTTGCCCCAAAATATTTATATAAGTTACTGTACTTTCATATTACTATATAATGATATAACATAAGTACTAAGATTTTTTTTTCAAATAAGGTTTTTTTTTCATTTAATATATCTTTTTTCATCGGTCGTCTGCAGTTCACTCTCAAAGACAGAATCAGAAATGAAATGCTGCCTTAAGTTAAGTTTAGTCATAGAACATACTCCTCAAGGTTTGTTTAGTGCATTCTGCTATTGATGATAAGACGGCAACCTAAGTAGGTTTTAAAAGTTTGTGAATAAAATCCTATCCATTTAAATTACGTAGGTAAGTAATGCAATTAAACTGCATTTTAGATTCAACTCAAACCTCATCCATTAAGTTAAGGTTAACCTAGAAACAAGTAGACTCAGTTTGATGAAGAGCGGATGAAACCATATGAAACTCAGCCAATGGACAAAAGAATAGGCAATAGGAAGGAGCTTTCCCGAATTTGGTCTGAATAAGTGACCAATTTTAGTGAGTTTAATATTGTACTCTCAGTCGACTATGTGCCAACTGAGCTTATGGACCCTTCATCAAGTATTGAACACTAAATACTGTAGGTCAATCAGTGGGGACCTACTGCTTCAAAGAGCTAGCCCACTTATAATAATGCTGCTAAGGGCCCATAACAAAAGGACTACGCTTAGATAACCAAGAAGAAGTGAAGACATACGGTACGAGCAGACATAACATTGGGCTCACAGGTCTTCATCGATTGTACCAAGACCAAGGCATTGGAAGAATGGTGAGACAGACAATCAGAATGCTGAGGTAGATAATCTTAACTTCAAAGTATAGCCTAAACAGTATAAACTTTTGAAGGAAGGCGGTGAAGCGAGGAAGTGCTGTGTCATGTTTAAAGTTGTTTTGTGTAAAGTGTGTCTGTTGACAATAATTGCCTAGACGGCCGTGTTGCCTAGCCTAGGTATGACTGTCAAGTGTTTTGTTAAAATCTGTGTCTAATGATGTCACAGTACTATGCTTATTTGTTCATACAACAATCTATGTTTAAGTTAATGTGTTTTTCACCGTCAAAGAATGTAGGCCTACGGTAGAAAGTTTAAACTAAGAAAGGTAGGCCTTAATATAACCCTAACTTACCTAAATAGACCTAAAAAAGTAGTAGCCCATAACTTTCTTTTAGCTACTAGATCTGTGTCCTTATAGTAAACTACTTAGGTCCACTTAGATTAAGTTACCCATCTTCAGGGGAACAGTTTCGCAGAGAACCTAGCCTACGATAATTTACCAGATGAAATATTTTTGTTTAACTGAATATACCCTATATGCGATAACTTATCGTAATCGGTTCACTTTTAGGCGATACAACTTACCGTACCTATTTATCATGTAGGCCAAGTCCTATTTCAATATTGAACAATTTATGCCTAAGATCTTTTTTTAAGGAGACTCTTTACACTGTGTAGCTTACTTTTTAGTTTATAATAGGCCTAATAACAAAGGTAACATTTCTAAAAATCAACATGAATCTTTTGTGTATGATTTGTTAAAAAGATAAATTTTTAAATACATAAGTTAGCCTACGGTAAGTTAACCCTTTGAGTGCCAACGTCCGGGGAACCGGACGTTTTTAAAACGAGCCAAAAGTGCCAACGTCCGGCCGACCGGACGTTTTTAGAACGAGCCAAAAGTGCCAACGTCCGGCTGACCGGACGTTTCGTAATGATCGAACAGCTGTCATAACAACCGAATAAATACTCAGATTCTTTTAACCCATATATTAACATTGAGTCGAAAGTTGCTAGATGCGATACATCGATTTTCGTTGGTCGAAATATCGAAAATTCGATTTTTACGAAATTTTAACCTAAAAATCGCCAGATCGCGCTCGGCATTTTTAGCGCGACCTTCGGGAAAAATCATCGGCATTTTTTGAGCGTTACTTTTATTTCTCGCCTGGCACTCTAAGGGTTAACTTTGATCTTTTTCATGAGTTTATAAAAATGTAGGCTAACTATCTTACCTACTGGGTAAGTTACAGTTCCGCAGAGAACCAACAATAACTTACTTCTTTTATCAGATGAATAACTACTTAACGGTTTGAATTTAACTTAACTTAATATCGTAGGCCTAGGCCTATTGAATTTAAGCTCATCATACATTTACCATGTGATATAAATAAAAAAATTACGTTTAAAAAATCCCACTCCCCAGAGCCATAGGTAAGACCTACCGAGGTAACCAAACATTAAAGAAGCATTTTATTGTTTTATCCTTGGTTGTTTAATGTTTTGTTATTAGGTAGGCCTAGGCCTATTTGTTTTGTTTCTTTTGGGTACACTTCCATATCTGTTGGCACAAACAACCGAATGAGTAATATCGATCGATATATCGAATTAAACAATCGAATAATCAATATTACTCATTCGGTTGTTTGTGCCAAAGATATGAAGGTACCCTTTTTTTTAATAGGCCTAACTTATAATTTATTTTTGGTCAACTTGGTTATTTTTTGACCACTTCTAATCACGTATTGTAACGAAAGCCATTACCAATACGAGAATCTAGGTCTCGTAATTAAGATAACATTTCCCAAAAATTGTCTTGCTCGGTAGAACTTTTACCAAACGAAATTCGACTGACTACAACAGTTCCTACAGATTTAATAATTTATTGATCTCATAGGCCTATCTATCAATGAGGTGAAAAATTGGAATATTTTAAAGAAAATGTCAAGAGGGGTTCACCAGTTAATTAATAATTAAAAAAGTAAGCCATAGATAAGTTTGGCCTACACCCAATGTTATCGTAGGCTAACTTAAGTACTTTTACTTTTTTTTAATGGTCCTTTACTTATGCTAAAACAAATAGTTTGCAACCATATGACACAAAAACAACATTGATTGTGAAAGGCCTACAATAAACAACACTCTACAAACTAAACAAATCAAAACAATTTTTTTTACTCATGCGTTAATTTAGTTAAAGTTTTTTTCATTTTCTCTGTCAATGGTTACTATCTTTTTTAGGCTTGGATTTTATAAGAATAAAGTGTGGATAACATAAAATGTTAGTTTGTCTCTTAAAACACAAATTTTACCAATTTCATATTCCATATCTGGTCAGATCTGGATGCCAGATACGACGATCAGATCTGGATGCCAGATACGATCAGATCTGTGATGCCAGATCTGAACTAATTCCATATCTGGTTAGATATGGGTGCCAGATCTGGAATATGTCCAGATATGTCATCCCAGATCTGGCCAGATATAGAATCCAGATCTGGGACCAGTCCACTTTTCCATAAGGGTTACTAACACCATTTTATGGCATCAAACTATTGAATATTATTAATAAGAATTCCGAATTAACCACAGTACTCAAATTGTCATTCGCGATAGACCTAGGGTACTCTTGCATTACTTGCTCTAGCTTTTATAATTAACATTATTTATTCAATTTATGATAGGGCCAGGGGCCATCACATAAAGTTTAAAATCTTGTAAATTTTATGTTTTTTTTTTAAATTGGTATGGTTGATATAGGGGATAGAGTCTTACTGTTATTCAGTGCTCGATTTGGGGGGAATGCAGTGGAACGGAGTTCCGGTACCTCTCTTTCAGAAAGATAAAAATATTTGCATGAATAGGTACCTACATAAATTGATATTTCATTTGACTTCAGTTAAAAAAGGTAGCCTTAAAAAAGAATTGAAATGAATGATAAACGGTTTGCTGAATATAAGAAAGAATGGTATAAATATTAATAATTCTCTCAATGCACCGCAACAACGTGGTTACAACGAGGTTTTTACCAAAAAGTTTGCCGAAATCTTTAAAATTTGAATTCAGGGGATTTTGCGGGTAATCAAGACTTGATTCCGGCTAATTCCGGGGATTACCACCGGATTTTGCGGGTAAAATGAGCAAGTTGTGTTGGCAACGCTGGTCATCACTGCCACTGTCGCCACACAAACTTGCGGCGGGCCGCAGAGGCATTGGAGTCTAAACCTTCGCTAAATCATCACGATGTTGTCCCGTGGCACTGCGGAGTGGGGGAAGCACAATTTTGGGGAAGAGAGTTCTATTGGCTGAGGGAACAACCATTACCGAAACGATACGATTTGGAGCCATCGGCCTCCATGGACTAATGGATAACGTGCCGGGCTGAGAAACTGAAGATACTAGGTTGAAAACCTCTCGGTGGCCATTACTTTTTGTCTAAGATTTTTGCACTATCAGCAAGTTTGGTTAGGTTATGACAGTTTAATTTGATAGTTAAAACATTATAAAATTCAATTTGAGCTATTATAGTTTTAGAACTATTTTTTTCCTATCATTCTATTTTTATTTTTATTTTTTTATTTTATTCTATTTTTTTATTTTTTTCCCTTCGTTAGCTTTTTTATTATTAGCAAGTTTGGTTAGTTTGGTTACGTTATGACTGTTTAATTTTATAATTAATAAATTATAAAATTGAATTTGAGGCATTTATAATTGCATTTTATGAACAGAACTATTTTTTCGATTAGTAAACCTACATTCGATTTTTATTTTATTTCTTTTTTATATATAATCAGCAAGTTTGGTTGGTTAGGTTAGTTTATGACAGTTTGATTTTATAAATATTCATTTTTTAACTTATTGAAAAACTGAAGCATAGGTTATGCATGTAAAACAACGCAGGCTTGTTTGGACGCCGTCTAGAGGGGAGGTGGAGGGAGAATCATTTCCCCCCACTCCGCAGCACCAGGGGACAACATCGCGATGATACAGCGAAGGTTTAGACTCCAGTCGCAGAGACAGGGTTAAGGGGAACCAAAGACTAAAGACAGATTATATGGTAGCCTACATGGAATTGTCTTCGTTCATTCTTATACGCGACATCGGAGCGTACTCCTAGTTTTATGCAATATACTTTAAACTAAGGACTTTGCAGGGTTCATCAGCAGCGTATGTTGAGGTAGCCTCAACATTCTCCTCTGGCATACTCCTCCATCTACTACTGGTCTGTCCTTCCCTGGCTTAATATAGTGTGGTTTGCATACCGTTTGAGATGCTACGTCCCATGTGTCCAGGCCTACTGTGGTGAGTGACACTTTAATCATGGCTATTTTATTTTTTAATACGGATTCGACTACTCATCCAGGAACAGAGCCTGGGGATATAATTATATCTTCAGATTGTTTTACAAAAATTTTATTCTTAACCGTGTACGTCAGCTACTGTGGCCTGATGATCAACTAATTTAGGAAATCTGTTAAAATATTTTATTTAGGTACTTGTTGTCTTAACTTGTTCTGAAAATTGGTAAAGCTAGTTGATACTAAACATTTCTTTAAATATTTTAATGTCTAATCTCCCAGAAATTCTGTGAAACCTAAAAGAATTTTACATTACGATGAAGTATATCTTGGAACACTCTAGAAACTAAACCAACCCTCAGGAACCCTAAATATGTCAGTAAATATAGTAGAGCGTTGTTATCCGCCGGTTAGATCCGGTTAAGACCGGTTATCGGAAACGTCAGTTAACTGAAAGGACACTCACCAGTGTTGCCGCGATCGCGAGAGACGTTTAGCGGTGACGTCCCAGACCGTAAGATATGCTCAAGGGTTTTACCGGGGTCGTGGGAGACAATTAATGATGTTGCTGAGACCACAACGATCCCAGACATCAGTCTTGCATCATAGTCTGGAAAATTATATGGCGAGTGACCACTAGTACATCATTTTCTGTGTTCTAGATGGTTACTCATGATAAGTTGCCGCGTCTAGGCAAGTGTCCATTCGGTAGAACACCTATGAACTAGACGTGCTTATATTCATATCTTAATTCAGGTTAAAAACTATTACCATAGACTTGACCATCACAAGTAGACTTCACATCCCGTCAGTGGCGGATTTACCATAAGGCACACTAGGCACATGCCTAGGGGCGCCTGCCATTGAGGGGCGGCGTGTGGCCCGTCAGCGGGTGATGGACGGCGCGGCGGCGGGCGCGTGGTGATAGGCTGAGGCCACACGGGTGGTTTTTTCATGCAAAAATGCAGCTTGAAAACATGCGAAAAATTAAAGTAGTATTTAAACAAATAGGTGCCCGCTATTGTGGAAAAACACACTGCGTGAGCGTGAGGGGCGTGTGGCATTCATTCCCCATTACATTTAATACTACTCATATTTACGCTGCTTTTGAGCGTGAGAAAAAGCCCATGAATTGAATGTGAATATGAGCGGTTGCCTTAGTAGTTAAGACGACTCACGTTCATGTCGCGACGTGCAGATGCAGACATACGACTGCGAGTAGCGAGCACTGTCAGTAAGTCATTTCCAGTACCTGTGTTGTATTTCTAGTGGCAGTTATCAGGGCCGCCTCGAGGGTAATAGACGCCTGGGGCGAGATTCAAATTTTTGCCCCCTCTAAAAAAATGTATTTGGGGATTTGCGTCAATAGACTCAACGTCCAATATATCGATATTGAACGTTTTGCAAGTATTTTTTTATAAACGTAACAACTACACCAACTAAATTACTAAAATTATTGAATTTACGACTCACAACGAACATCACGAAACGACTATGAGCTGATGTAAAAGTTTGAGTTTTGAGGTTAGAAACAAGCAAATGTAGGTGGGGCTGGGGCGTGTGGGCGAATACACACTTACACAGTGTGTGTGATTACATGTTTTATGAGTTTCCTGTAAAATATTCGTATGCAGTTTGCTGATAACGTTGTTAAATTTTTAACCTTCCAAAGCCGGTTAACCTTCCTTAAGCGGCGCCCAGGGCGGCCACCCTGCACGCCCTGTCCTTGAGGCAGCCCTGGCAGTTATATTATAAGAAAACTATTGTTAGCTGTTTTGAATTTTAAATTAAAAATCTTTCAGTATAGTGAATTTTGTTGTCAACCGCCTGCAAAAATGTCGGTTAGTAAATAAGGCAATTAAGTCATTGCTCAAAATTCCGCTCATTTTATTAATTCTTGTCTAAAGTAGGCTACTCATAATTGAATAACAACATAAAACAGGCTTATTTACTACTTTTTTGTAATAACCCAGTGGACGTGTTAAAGGCAGTCATAAGTTATTTAAGTTTTGGCAGAACAATAACCTATATATGTTTATTTAATAAAAAATGTAAAATTTATTAATAACAGGCCCTATTTATTTAATTTATGTAAAATAAACTAACTTTTTTAGAACCCCTATTGGTTGTTTTACTTTGTAGTCCATTTTAATTTCATAATTATGCATAAGGAAAATAATAATAATGAGTGAAAAGGTTAAGTGGTGCAGCATTACACAAACTTAAGGAAAATCATGAGAGAAAGACTTCTTTTCCTTTTTTGCGAATCACAAAGGGGCGAACGGGCCTAGGGGCGGCGCTGTATGTAAATCCGCCACTGCATCCCGTTGTAAAATTTGAATTTAGTTTTTCATGTCTAGTTCATGTTGGTGACACTGGGCGCTAGTGTGATGAAATCTTAGTTTCTATTATTTCATGATTTGTGCTTTACGGTTTGGTTGTATAACCAGGGGATGAGTTATTGATTATCATAAGATTGTATTATTTGGCTAAACGAGGTTTAACGGTGCACTGATTTTGATCAAGGCACTGAAGCGGCAGTATTTGATCGCTAATACTGTGGTGATTTTGAGCATGGAACCTCTAGGTACGTGAGGACAATGCATCTGTTCTAATTGTTATGAAATGCAACCCCATGTCAATCTTCCAGCAACAGTAAATTCTTCGATAACTTAATACAGTAATTAGTTATAATAGTAATAATTTCTGACGCATCCGATAGGGTTTTGTCCTTTAACCTTGTTGTATCAGGGATTTGTTGTTTTGTTGTTTGTGCTGTTCAGTGTTCATATTACATTGGTTAAAACAAGTTTATTAATTTCCGACTTTTTTCAAACGAGTGTAGGAGTTTTGACACCGGGTATCAGGTAGAAATGGTCCCCATCCGCAAATTCCTCATACTGCAGAGTTTTGCCATCGGTTGGGGGTGGGCGCGAGATGGGGAGGAGAGAGAGAGAGATTACACGTGACCGTAAGGGTGGCTTCCGCTAGGGGTGGACAAACCAGGCAGGATGCTAATTAACCTGCCTAATACCTAACCTAACCTAACCTCATACAATTCCTCCCACTGCGACAAGCGCATAACTGCATTCCTATGAACGTCAACCCCAAGCGTAGACAACCCAGACAATCGCTCTCACTCCCTCCCTCACACTCTATTTCTCCCGCCCCCACCGTTGGCAAATCTCCGCACCAAGAGGTGACCGACGGCATCCCCCCCCATCTACCTGACACCTTTGGCAAAACTCCGGTTCCCTTTCAAAACGACAACGGATAGATGACTAGGTTACTAACAGCTGCAATGTGACACCGGACTTACTTTTAGCGAATTGCTCGTATAGGGAACTGCTTTACCTCATGCTTCACAATGGGGAGAACCAAAAATAAAATAGTGTTTTACTCTGTTGTTGAACCTTATAACTTTTTAAAACTATTTATCATCACAGAACCGTCTGAAATAGCTGTCAAGATTCTTTGATTCTTATCAATTACTGGCTGTTTCCTTAATTTATAGTGCACATTCAAAAGTATTACCAGTACAGTAGACCCCCTCTTAACCGACCCTAATGGGACCGGACCTAGGTTAGATAACTCAAAAGGTCGGATGAAACGGACAATCCCTAAAATCATAACATAATGAAGTGCTATAATTTGGAATTATATGATCATTATTTTGAAATCATACTTGCATTATTCATAAAATAAACTACTCTTATCTCCTTTTTCGTATTGATAGAAAAGTCACAAATAAACACAAAACACGGTTAAGTCAAATAGGCCTACTTTCAGTGGAAAATATTATAATACTAGGCAAGAGTCAATAAAATTCCTATTTTAATAACTTTAGTACTGTAATTTATTGATTGATGCTTTCCAAATCCATTGTAATACAGTACAGAACCTTTTGTCGACATTAAAGATACAATCAATAATTTTGTTACAAGACATGACGTTTGTTTATAGCCTCTCACTGGAGGCTCGAGGCACAAAAACTATCTTGACCTTGGAGTTGTTAACCCCCTTTCCCAGCCCTCCCTACAAGTTGCGTTGTTTGTTTACTCCAGCTATAAGATAATCAGTTCTCAAAATCGTAACGCACTTTATGATGTTATAAATTTGACGCACAGAAAACAAACAAATCAGATGAGCTCGAGCTACAAACGATGATGACAAACTGACAATAGGCTATGCTATATTTTTTGTGATCAACACAAAATAACTTATTCGTATCCTGTGGAGATAAGCGTATGGTTCAGTTCTCATCGCCCAGCGTGGGAGCGGAAATGCCGAGATTCCTAGAAAGCGGCGGTTAAACCGAGCTGCTCTCAAAGCAAGGTCGGTTAAAACAAACTGTATTATTTTACGATCGAAGGCGGATAATCCGATTATCGGTTAATACGAGGTCGGTTAAGAGGGGGTCTACTGTAATCTGTTTAAATGTAAACAAATATTTTCTCCTTAAGCATAACAAGAACAAGGGAACCTGAAACCACTGGGGCAGAGCTCAGATGGAGTTTTCAAATTGTATTTTACACAAACATCACCTGACTCATATAGAGCAACTTCCCAAAGTTTCATCACGATAGGATGACCGGTTTGGTAACGCACAAAGGACAAACTAGCGAAATACATTTGATCTTATATAATATAGATAAGGTATCGCCATAGGTCTCAAAGACTTGGACCCGTGACTGATTTCATTGCTCGGTTTGATGTCACCATAGGCCAATATATTTAAATATTTTTTCCTACAGTCACCCGACAAAGTTCCTTCCTTTTTTTCCTTCCTTGTATTGTTTATAGTACAGAAAGCTGCTAATTCCTACATATTTATACTTTGCCGTACGGTTTATACTTTGTCGTACGGTTTATACTTTGCCGCACATCAGGATTCCAACGAAACAACACAAAACAGCGTGGTTCTATTATGCACGTAATCCGTGTACGCTTGGAAATAGGTTGGCAACACTTAAAGATAATAATACTATGAGCAGCTGATTGACTATTATAACTACGATTTAACCTGTCATTTTGTGTTAATAGTTTCGGTATTTCTGAACTTTCTGGACTTTTCTTTTAAACGTTTTTTAAAACATTCCTATGATCTTAATAAACAAGAAAATACCTTTAAAACATTTTTTTTAGGCGCGGAAACCACGTCAAATTACAAAAACATACGGAACTATATTCTCAAAACGCGGAGCACATTTCTTGCCGAGGAAAAATAGCGGAGTGATACGGACCGCGGGTACTACTTTCTCTAGGGCACCATTTGTGTTGCCAGCTGAACCTATAAACGTGTTGTATAGTGTTTGAAAGACTAATTATTTATATGCTTTATAGTGACTGTAGGAAAAATATAATGTGTAAAACGAGTGAAAAAGGCCTTTGATGCACTCGAGATCATTCCACACTCGCCTGCGGCTCGTGCGTAAACATTGCTCTCGTGTGCAACAAAGTGCCACTTTCACCACTAGTTACACAAATAACTATTCTGGTAGCACGACAGCACATGCAAAATTATCTGAAGTTGTTTTTGGGTCTCAAAACTTAGAATTTCTCAATTTCTAACCGATTTTGTATTCCTAAAATGTTAAAAAAGTACGCAAACCTAACGTATGTCTGATTAAACAGTGCATTGCGCAACAAACAAAGCAAAGAAAGGACTCCCTGGTGTGGAAAGAGTTTTGGTGTTAATTGCAACAGCTTAGAGACTTAAAAATTAATTTGTTGACTTTTGTCAAGTGTGTAGCCACAAGGCCAGGGAATAAATGCATGCTAGTAGATTTGATTTGAATGTTTATTCTCTTCTCCCCCTGTTTGTTCATCCGTAAGAGTTCTAGAAAGACCATGCTCAAAATCACCTAAGGATTAGGGAACCCATTATAGTCACTCAAGTGCCTTTCTCAATTTCACCACTTACCTGGGGTTTGTGCTCGAAATCAGTGTGCCATGGTAACCAGGAGCTGAAAACTGAGGATTGATTCAGCAAGTCCAACCATGGGTTGATCAACGTAACGGAGAGGATAATAATTATTTCACCCAGTTTCTGACGGGTCACAAATTTTCTTTGGTCGTACCTGGTCAGGAAAGGCAAAGCCATGTCATCCGATTGGCTCTACTATCCGTGACACTGAGTAACACACTTTCATCCGCCGCTTGCGTTGGAAAGGGCTCCACCTGGAGGCTCAACAACATGTACTGTTGTCGGTGGACATGGTCATCCCGATGATAATGGAGGGTGGACCAGTGTTTTACAGTTTGTCCAGAGTATTCTCCGTGTCAAGCTCAACTTACCTGGGTCACAAAGGAATTGAATGCCATAAATGAGCCGTGAGGTCACATGATGACTTAACCTTAAGTAATGTCACAAACAATCCCAGGTCCGTTCCCAACTGAGTAGAGGTAGTGTATGTAGTCTGATAAATTCAGGAGTCTCACGCTACAGGCTGGCCACCAGTGTGCGCAAAAGCAATTTTTCTTTCTCTATTAAAATAAATCACATCATTGTCTCCTGCGACCATAGAAAATCATCGTCTTCCGCAATAACTATAAAATATTGTACATCTTTTATATATACAGTATAATTATTTCTCGCTGTCACAAAAAGTTGTTATCGTCTCCCATGGTCATGAAGACATCATCGTCCTCTGCAATCGCGGCAAAAGCGTGAATTTTTCAGTCATGAAATCTCAAGAGGGGTAAAAAAATAAATACGGGCACCCCTAAAGCTCAGTTGTAATCAAAATCATCCTATATTTAGAGTTACAGTCCCAATCGATTGATGAGTTTCACAATATTAGAATCTCCCAACCATTTAAGTTAATAAAACCATAGCCTAACATTTACATAGATCATTATGGGTTTTCCTATAGCCACCTGACAATGTGGGCTTCCTTGCACTGATCATACTACAGAAAGCAGCTAATTGCTGCATTTACTTACTTTTATTATGCTCATGATACGTGTATGCTTGGAAATAATCGGCAACACATTTTGTTCAAATTATTTATTTAACTTAACCTAAAAAGGTGTTGTACAGTGTTATGAAAGAATGATTATCTATATATTAACTGTAGGAAAAATTGAAACACGAGTGCAAACTGCATTTGCTGCACTCAAGAAACTTTCCACACTCAATCTAATGTGCGTAAACATTTCTGTCATGTGCAGCAAAGAGCCACTTTGCACACTAGTTACACAAATAACTATTTAGTGATGTACAGGAATAAATAAAGCAATGCGAGGAAAAATCCACTTGATAGTTTAATTGAATGATAGAAATAAATTTACATGAAAATACTCTCTAAAATCTATTTAATTTTTTTACATAAAATTATAAATATCTGAGCCAATTATATTGAAATATATTTTTCATTCATCTTACAACTAAAATCTTTGGTTGGTAAATACAGATTCAATTCAATTAACTAATAAATAAATTCTTATGAACATTCCTAAATACTTAAATATACTTTGGAAGCAATAAATCTATAAAAAATAACAGATCTTAAATTCGTTTAGGTTATTTATTGGTTCAAAATGGTAATCCTACACCATTCAGACAAAAAGGCTAACAATGTTGTAAATTTTATATTTAATGTGAATAGCATAACAAGTGCATAAACAAAGACAAAAGACAAAAATTAATTTTTAATCAATTAATATGTTTTTACAAATATACTTACACATTTAAGAGAAAGGTATAATAAACAACAAACTTTCTTACAAAAGAAAATGACAAAACTGAAGACAAAGAAATTATCGTAATTTTTTCATGTTGACAAAATTAGAAAAAAACATAGTAAAACATGACAAACTAAAATAATATTTACAATGTTATCATTCAATTCCTTTTAAGAACTAGCTATCTACACTTACTTGACTTTAACATAACCTATATTTTAAATTGGCACTCTTCCAATGAATTTCACTAAGAATATTTTGCAATATAATTTAATTATTAACATAAATCTATTTGATGTACCAATACGGCAATTATCATTACCTACAATAATAAATTTAGAGACATGTTATTTATAGTTTTCTTTTGCACTAATAAACAAAAAAAGTCATTAGCAAACACGTAAAATAATTTAAATTTGTCAGGAAAATGGGTTACAATAGCATTAAAATTAATTAGGTTGATATTCAGATCTTTCCTTTATTTTTACACTTATAATAAAACATATTGGGAGGATAATATCCAAAGTTTATTACATAACCATGGTAACAGTACCAATACGGCAATTATCATTACCTACAATAATAAATTTAGAGACATGTTATTTATAGTTTTCAGTCTTGCACATTATTACTTTTGCACTAATAACCAAAAAAAGTCATTAGCAAACACGTAAAATAATTTAAATTTGTCAGGAAAATGGGTTTAGCATTAAAATTAATTAGGTTGATATTCAGATCTTTCCTTTATTTTTACACTTATAATAAAACATATTTGGAGGATAATATCCACATAACCATGGTAACAATATGTGCTTTAGCACCTGTCATTATGTACATAGTCTACATTGACGGTTATTTTATAATGCTCAAACAGTTAGTGGAAGTCCAAGCCTTGCTAGAACCATCTCCTTCCGCAACCTTATGATCTCCCAGTAGGTATCGTGAACTGTTAAAAAAAAAAACTTTGATTATGCTATAGAACTTGTTATAAAAACAAATAGCATTTTATGTGTTGTAGAAATTTACATCAATTTCCTTAGAGTTTTACTGAACCCAAAGAATGGTGGCCCCTTGGTAGTACAATAACTTGTTTTGTTATTTCTTCCAGGGTACGGTAGCATGGGTAGTGGGGCTGCAGGGTTCGGTAGCACGAGTACTGGGGCTAGAGGATACGGTAGCATGTGTACTGGGGCTGCAGGATACGGTAGCATGGGTACTGGGGCTGCAGGGTTGGTTAGCATATGATACTGGGGCTGCAGGGTTGGTTAGCATATGATACAGGGGCTGCAGGGTAGGGTAGCATATGGTTGGGGCTAGGGTAGCATATGGTACTGGGGCTGCAGGGTAAGGTAGCATATGGCACTGGGGCTGCAGGGTAGGGTAGCATATGGTAATGGGGCTGGGTACTGGGGCTGCAGGGTAGGGTAGCATAGGGTACTGAGGCTGCAGGGTTGGTTAGCATATGATACAGGGGCTGCAGGATAGGGCAGCATAGGGTACTGGGGCTGTAGGGTACGGTAGCATAGGGTACTGAGGCTGCAGGGTAGGTTAGCATATGATACAGTTGCTGCAGGGTAGGTTAGCATATGATACAGGGGCTGCAGGGTAGGGTAGCATAGGGTACTGGGGCTGCAGGGTAGGGTAGCATATGGCACTGGGGCTGCAGGGTAGGGTAGCATATGGTAATGGGGCTGCGGGGTAGGGTAGCATTGGGTACTAAGGCTGCGGGGTAGGTTAGCATGTGGTACTGGGGCTGCGGGGTAGGGTAGCATAGAGTACTTGGGTTCTAGGGTACAGTAGCATATGGTACTGGGGCTGCAGGGTAGGGTAGCATAGTGTACTGGGGCTGCAGGGTACGGTAGCATAGGGTACTGGGGCTGCAGGGTACGGTAGCATAGTGTACAGGGGCTGCAGGGTACGGTAGCATAGTGAACTGGGGCTACGGTAGCATAGGGTACTGGGGCTGTAGGGTTGTGAAGCATAGGGTACAGGGGCTGCAGGGTACAGGGGCTGCAGGGTACAGTAGCATAGGGTACAGGGGCTGTAGGGTAGTGAAGCATAGGGTACAGGGGCTGTAATAGGTTACAGCATAGGGTACTGGGGCTGTAGTTTATGGTAGCATAGGGTACTGGGGTAGTTAAGCATACGGTACAGGGGCTGCAGGGTACGGTAGTTAGAGTACTTGATCAGCAAGATAGCATAAGGGTTGGGTAGCAAAGGACTGAGTAGGCTAGAATACTGGTGCTGCAGGGTATGGTAGCTAGGGTAGGGTAGGTTAGTGTAAGGTACTGGGAAGGGGTACAGGGATATGGGCAGGTGTGGGTCTCTCCACCTTCAAGAACTACCTAGCCAATACCACTCCAAGGCGCAAGCTCTTTAGAACTCGAGGTGAACCAGGAGGTTCCTCAAGGATCTATGCTGGGTCTCCTTCCCCCATCAACGACATCGAAGGGATTTAGCTACAACCCAGGTCCAAGAAGCCATGTTTTTAAGATGAACAATATGCAACTGAATGGAGACAAAAATCCAGAGACTCCTTTGACCCTCTCAAGAGACTCCTCCGATGACAAAAAGCTCCTTGGTTTCCAGCTGGACAGCCGATTAGGCTTGAACCACCACATTGCCCATTTCGCCTTTGGTTGACTGAACTGACTTCTGAGACTTCTATCTGATGATGATATACCATGCCCACATTGCATACGGACTGGATACTGACTTCTGAGACTTCTATCTGATGATGATATACCATGCCCACATTGCATACGGACTGGATACCGAAGTAGAGGAAGTATTGGAGCTTCAAGAAGTGGCAATGCATCATCTCAAGGAGCCCTTTTTAGAGAACACTGCAAACCGATTTTCAAGACTTGGGATTTAACCTTCTGTAGCCACTACACTACGCCTGCACGATTGAAATCAAATGCAGTATTCCACTCCTTAATACATGAAGTCATATCCATGTTCATAACACCAGTCCTAGGCAGAATCTTGATGTACCCCGGGCAAGACTGAGCAGAACTCCTTCGCCACATCTGCCATCAAGTTTTTCAATCGACTCCCTTCCAGCATTCAATGTCTGGACGACCAGAAGTTCAGGTGTGAAATACTTGAGGAAAATACCATACTACAAGGTACTGACTTCTAGATAATCTGGAGCGGGCAGCTAGCAGACGGTACAAAAGATTACCTGTCTAGCTCCAGATTATCTTCAAAGAAGTCAAAACCTTGTAGTTTGGTCTTTTCATCAAGTCTTTCACAGCAGTCTTGAACTTCTGATCGTCCAGACATTCAATGCTGGAAGGGAGTCGATTGAAAAACTTGATGGCAGATGTGGGGAAGGAGTTCTGCTCAGTCTTGCCTGGGGTACATCAAGATACTGCCTAGCACTGGTGTTATGATCATGGATATGACTTCTTGTGTTAAGACGTGGAACACTGCATTTGATTTCAATCGGGAAGGCGTAGTGTAGTGGCTGTAGAAGGTAAAAATCCCATGTCTTGAAAATTGGTTTGCAGCTTTCTCTAAAAGGGCTCAGTGAAATGGAACGTGCCACTATTTGAAGCTTTTTATACTTCAGTGCTGGGATGCTGGTTAGGGCAGCCTAGAGCATTGGCTGCAGTGTAGGGTACAAGGTCTGATGCTGGGTTGCCTTCCCCTACACCATACCATACCCTACGCTGAAGCCCATGCACCCTACGCTACTCTGCCCTGCTGCCCCAGCACTCCCAATGGAGTTCGTTCATCGCCCTAAGAACCCTACCCTTCTTCCCAAGTATCCTACCCTACCCTTCTAACCCAATACCCTAGCCTACACTACCCAGTACCCTAACCTACCCTACCCAGTAGCCCAACACCCTAGCCTACTCTCCTCAGTAGCCCCTGCACCCTAGCACCCTACCCTGCAGCTTAGTACCCTAGCCAAACCCAACCCTACCTAGGATAGCCTGGGGTAGTGGGTCTGCTGGGTAGGATAAAGCCCCTGAACCCTACCTATGCTGCAGCCTTAGGAGCTGCTGCTGGGTGGGGTACTGAGACTGCTACCCTACCCAGCAGGCCCAGTACCATGGCTACCCACCTCTGCAACCCCTGCACCCTACCTAGCTATGCTGGGATCCAGGGTAGTGCTCTAGGGCAGTTACCTAGGGTAATGGGGCTGCTGGGTAGGGTAGCCTAGGGCTTTGTGGATGCTGGGTAGGGTTCTGGGCTCTTCGTCACCCTACCAGCAGCCTCAGTACACTGCCTCTACTCTGTAGCCCCTGCATCCTTGGATACAGTACCCTGCAGCCTAGTACCCTAGGCTACCCAACAGCCCAGGGCTGCAGCGTAGGGTAGCTTAGGGTCTAGAACTGCTAGGTAGGATAGCCTTCCTTGAGTGCAGGATAGGGTATCCTAGGATGCCGGAGCTGCTGGGCATTGGGGCCAGTGGGAGGGTGGCGAGGTGCCTAGACTACCGTACCCAGCATCCACAGTACTCTAGGCTACCCTACCCTGCACCCACAGTACCCTAGGCTACCTTACCCTGCATCCACAGTACCCTAGGCTACCCTACCCTGCATCCCCAGTACCCTAGGCTACCCTACCCTGCATCCCCAGTACCCTACCCAGGATCCAGAGTTACTCAGCAGCCAGGGCTGCAGCGTAGGGTAGCCTGGTCTAGAACTGCTAGGTTGCTACCCTACCCCGCAGCCCCATTACCATATGCTACCCTACCCTGCAGCCCCAGTGCCATATGCTACCCTACCCTGCAGCCCCAGTACCCTATGCTACCCTACCCTGCAGCCCCTGTATCATATGCTAACCTACCCTGCAGCCTCAGTACCCTATGCTACCGTACCCTACAGCCCCAGTACCCTATGCTGCCCTATCCTGCAGCCCCTGTATCATATGCTAACCAACCCTGCAGCCTCAGTACCCTATGCTACCCTACCCTGCAGCCCCAGTACCCAGCCCCATTACCATATGCTACCCTACCCTGCAGCCCCAGTGCCATATGCTACCCTACCCTGCAGCCCCAGTACCATATGCTACCCTAGCCCCAACCATATGCTACCCTACCCTGCAGCCCCTGTATCATATGCTAACCTACCCTGCAGCAACTGTATCATATGCTAACCTACCCTACCCTACCCTGCAGCTTGTACCCTATACTTCACTACAGCCCAGTACCCTCAGCCCCTGTACCCTATGCCTCACTACCCTACAGCCCCAGTACCCTATTCTAACCTACCCTGCAGCCCTAGTACCCATGCTACCGTACCCTGCAGCCCCTGTACCATATGCTTCCCTATGCTACCGTACCCTACAGCCCCAGTACCCTATGCTACCGTACCGAGCAGTTCAGTACCTTAGTCTACCCTATCCTGCATCCTACCTGGCAGGACCAGTACCCTACCCTATCGCCCCAGTACCCATGTTTTAGACTGTTTACCTTACGTTGTAGCCCACTGCATGTTAAGACTACGCTCAGCCAGCCCACTGCATAGACTACGGTCAGCCAGCCCACTGCATAGACTACGGTCAGCCAGCCCACTGCATAGACTACGGTCAGCCAGCCCACTGCACCTTGCTGCTTCACAACGAAATGGCCTTTCTAAAGGCCAAAAATATCTTTCGTATTACACGTTGCAGACCTGTGCTAGTTCGACTATCCTTGTGTTCCTGGTGTGGTTGTGCAGTGCCCCACCATGCTGCCCTATTCTCCCTAAGCTAACCTTCTCAGCCCTTCTAAGTCCCTACCATACCATTGTCTTGCCTTAGTAACCTAGGTTACCCTACCCTGCACACCAGAACTACTGCCCTGTGACCTAAGCTGCTGCTCCCTACCCTGCTGCCCCTGTGGCCTAAGCTGCTGCTCCCTACCCTGCTGCTCCAGTCACCAAAGCTGCTGCTCCAGTGACCTAAGCTGCTGCTCCCTACCCTTCTGCCCCTGTGGCCTAAGCTGCTGCTCCCTACCCTGCTGCTCCAGTGACCAAAGCTGCTGCTCCCTACCCTGCTGCTCCAGTGACCAAAGCTGCTGCTCCAGTGACCTAAGCTGCTGCACCCTACCCTGCTGCTCCAGTGACCTAAGCTGCTGCTCCCTACCCTTCTGCCCCTGTGGCCTAAGCTGCTGCTCCCTACCCTGCTGCCCCTGTGACCAAAGCTGCTGCTCCTGTGACCAAAGCTGCTGCTCCTGTGACCAAAGCTGCTGCTCCAGTGACCTAAGCTACTGCTCCCTACCCTTCTGCCCCAGTTCTCTACCCTGCAGCCTTAGTACCTACTCTGCCCCACCCAGCTCCTACAGTACCCTACGCCTACACTAACTTATCCTGTTGACTGAGTACCCTAAGCTGCCTAAACCTGCACCCTACAAACAATACCCTCCCTTTTTCACACCCCCCATACCTCTATGCCCACACACGCCACAGTACTCAATGATTCAGCCCACTGCAGATAAACAAGGCCTTCCTACTTCACATTTTTTGTCACACCACACCAACCTATTAAAGTAAAAAAACTCAGGTCCAACTATGTTCTATGTGTAAACTGTAATAGTTTTATCTAAACGCAACCCAAATTACAAGTACTGTAAGACTGTAGACATTGCTTAACAACTAAACTAATTTATTGTTGGTATTTTGAGTTGGGTAATTCACACTTTTTTTTTCATTTTCAATATCTAAAAAAAACTATTCATGCATGGAAAACAGTTTTGTTTTACATTATTTTCTATTTATCATAATCAGAAGTGTACTAATACATATTTGATCTAATTACCTGAGCTTTTTACCAGGCCTCGTTGTATGTAGTTTAGATAGTTCAGGAAATCACAGACAGCAATGATCTAAAAATGGAAAATAATACATTAAAATATCTTGTCTACATTGCACAGCTTTGTAAACACATCTGTATAGGATGCACACTCACTGTCATTACCGTAAATGAATAACCGAGTGAAATACTGACAACCAGATGTTTTTATTTAGTCACATTTTTTGACACATAAAAAGGTTATGTTATCTTTTGCCCTAGTGGTCCTAGTTAATAGATTATGCACATTTCGGCTATTCAGCATCGTCAGATTGTCGTATGAGAGCCTAGTGGTGTGTCTCTAGTTCAGAACAAAACACACAACCACCTAGTTCGTTACTTAAAGAATAATTGGCTGTTGAACATATTTTTAACATGCCTCTTCAAGCAGACAAGTTCTTATACAAGGATCTGGCGATGGCTGACTAGCCGGACTGTGCATAATCCATTAAGGATGTATGTAAACCACAATGCGACAACAGGTGACTTTTTATTGGTTAAATAATTGGTCCAGAAAAATAAATTATTTTAACAAAATATCTTGCCCTTGTGTTTGCTGATAGGCCATGAACTAATACCAAAATAATCAGAACTTATGATACTCTAAATCGGCTGTGATTTACCACTATAGAGAGGAAAACAACCATGGGTTATACATCTAGAGAGCTTGAGTTTTTAAAATTTCATATACTCCAAGTACCACACCAGTGGCCTCTGCATAGGTAACAATGTTTTAAAAACACCACTATTAGCAACAGATAAATGAAGGAAAGTAACAAGGATTTTTAAATGTTTTCTTTTAGGTTTTAAAATGTCACCATCATATAAAAAAGGTTTTAAAAATGGTTTTTTTAAGTAAAAATTTACACTTATTATTATCTGGTAAGTGAAGCCCAAAAGAATTTGCACAAATGAATGATACCTCGTCTAAAAGCATGCCAATTAAAAACTTGTCACGAAACTCACCCGATTTCGGCATATCTGGGAGATGCAGTGCCAAGTGTCCGTTTCTCCTAGCCTCATCCGGTACTGGCACTGGCGAGGTGTTTCAAGCAGAGCACACTTCCTACAAGATACAAAACACACTTATATTTTGATGTTAAGGATGTAATACTGAGCACAAGGGCCTCTAGTTCTTAAATTATATAGCAGATGCAGGCCAAAACCATAAAGAACTTCATCCGAATATTCAAATGTTTGCGCACCACAGGAAGTTGTGTTTTTGCACCCCTAATGATGCTGCTGGAAGTCACTTCCAGTCCTGCTCGCGGCAATGTACGTACATGTGAATTGATAGGCTTATCTTTAATCATTCGTTTTTATGTAGGCCTAACGTGTTAAATGTCTCAACTCATTCTGACGATACCTTCAGAAATGGATCTTTTTGTATACCTGACCATGGCGGAGTCAAAGAACCACCAAAACATATGTGCAAGTTTTAATATACGACATACAACAGTACATGATAAGGATTGTCCAACGATGTAAAAACTACTGGATTGCGCTCTCAGTAGCACTGAGGGCGCTGTTTTCGGTCTAGCTCCCCCCACCATCTACTGGCAGTAGCCGACGCAGCCCATACACTCAACATTGTAAAACGCGCCTTTTTAAGTTGCTGCTCTGTTTAAATATATAGATGTAAAATATTGCTAATACATGCCAAAAACTGTTACTATTCTAAACTTTATGTCTTCTTCTTTTCGTGCAGAAAATAACACATTTGAACTCTTAAAACCCCTACTACATTTGTCCAGTTTTTACCGCAAATCTATGCTTGACATTAACGTGATAGGCATACTTTTTTATGACCTATTTTGTAAGATACATTGTCATTAAACATTGAAAGAAAAAAAATATCCCGTTTACGTCAAACATTTACGTTACCACTGCGGCAAAAACTTAGTAAAATTATTCTAATGTTTATGTACTATTTTTTCAAATAATAAAATAGAATTTCAAACACAAATATTGTACTTTCTATTTCTCCTTTGTAATCACTTATTATTTTACCATGTACAATTTGGAACTAGCAATATCAGTTGTCTAAAAACATCTACAAAACGGTTTAGTGAATTTTAGTGAATTTGTAGTTTTAAAGAATTCAAATGGGTTATTTTCTGCAAGAAACAAAACAGACATAAAAGGTTTAACTAGTAAAAACAGTTTGACAAGCGTTAGCAATATTTTATCCCTATAAATTTCAACAGTGCAGCTAATAAAAAGTGTGTTTTATAATGGTGAATGTATGGGCTGCGTCGGCTTCTGCCAGTAGATGGTGGGGGAAGCTCGACCGCGCGGCCAACACTGAGCCAGCGATCCATGAGTTGTTTATATCGTTGGGATTGTCTGACAAGGTACACCAAATATGCAAGGTTTTTACCATTATCAATCAATTGAAAACTGCAGACACAAGGTCTGAAGAGTCTTAAATATCTTTTCCATTGGTTAGCCTAGAGCAGATCCCAAAAGGACGAGACTAAATAGCTACCTGATCTAGGCCAATGTTATATAAGAAATTATTAGGACTGGAATTATGTTACAGGGCTCCCGGCTCCGACCAACACCGACCTGAATGGGGATTAGTAATTGGGGCTGACCTGGACCTAGGTGACCACTGCTGATCCATGCCGAGCAAACTGCTACATCGCAGCTTCCTGTGGAAATCTACAACCACCCTCCACCATACACCTGGTTGCTTCTTTCTGCTATTTAATAGAGTTGTTTAAAGTATACTCAAACAAGCATTTATTATTGTATATTGATGTAGTTGTGATAATAAATAAATAATATTTATTGTTATTATGGTTTTTCAATCCCCTCCAGAATTTGTGACCGTTTTGTACCAGAACATGTGATGGTTCAGTATGCTTAAACATGAACCCAATCAGGACTCAACCCTTTGGTTCAGCTTAACCAGTTTGCAACTTTAGGTTTTAAGGGATTTTTTTAAGGGCAGGCTTACCAAAATGAGAATGAGATTACTATAAAATAGTACAGAAATACATAACTTACAAAAAAACATTTGAATATTTCACTGTCACTGACAGCATTTTCAACCAAGAAGGATTTGAGTTGTATTGATGAATGATCAATGTTTTTTTGATCATGAAAGCAATATATAGCTACTTACAGTAATAAATATTAATGTTTAAAATGTTTTGTGAAATTTCACTGTGATTACCAATAATCCGGACAGTTTGGTTATCTGTCCACTATCTGATCCAAATTAGTTCTGATTAGCTCTAGTTTAACTGTATGTGAAAACTTATGTAAGTAGTAAAATCCCCAACTATTCTGATCAAATGTACAAGATAAAAAAAATAAATACAGTTAAAATATCCATGACTCACTTGGGGAAGTGTGTCCGAGTTTTGTCGTTGACAGCCTCTATGTAGATTGTTCCCGACTGTATTGCTCTTCGCACATCTTCACCGAGCTGTGTGTTGTTGAACGCCAGACAGCTGTCGATGTCTTCTCTGTAAACTCGGCTGACAAACTCACTCTCCTGGTCCAGCGTCGGACTCTCCTTCCACGCTAGGAACTCTCTATGCAACACAGGGTCCACCTAGTAAAACAATAATGTAGCTGAATTCCAACAGCCTTCCACACTTCAATAAAACTTTAAAATATCTCTTCTGAATGTTTCTAAAAAATGTCGCCCTCACTTTATGTATTTTGAGAATATAACACTAAGTTCTTAAAATAATAAAAGCACTATATAATTACTAAATCAAATCTCAATGGTAGACTGTATTTTTGCTCACTGCAGATATAAGATGATAACTAATACCAATACCTCAGGGTAAAAAGACAGTGTAGGTACAGTTCTGACATTATATAAGATCTACCACTACAAAGCTGGCGCTATATGAATTAAGACTTCAAGGTCAAATTGAGTTGACTTGAGGGTACTTGAGGGTATTATTGGAAATGCTTTTTTGTACTGACTGGGAGCAGGTTATGTATGGTATAACTGACTCTATATCTTTGTTTTCATGTTTTTTCCAGAAAATTTGCAACTCAATCAATTTCTATTGTAAGAAAAAAATCATAAATAGTTCTGATAACAAAACGATTGGGTTACCAAAACAAAAATGGTACACAACCGAACTTGCAGGTCTTAAGCAAGAGATTTTAGTTGTAAGTAAGGTCCTTAAAGAATCTTTTTCTTCTAATCCAAGAGTTTGTGAACAACTTAGAAATCTAAAAAAAATGTATAGACAGAAAATCATTAAGGCAAAACTAGACTTTAATCAAAGACAGATTGAAAATAGTAGTAACAAGTGTAAAGCTGCTTGGAATATCATAAAATCAAACACCCAAAACTTAAGAAATGAGCCTTCACCAAATATTACACCATCTCAATTTAATGCATATTTTGTTGAATCAGTTCAGACTATAAAACAGAGCATAGGCAACCCAAATCTTTTCCCAAAGCATTTTGTCAATAATACTCAGGTTGCTCCAGTAAAATTCAATTTCAAATTAGTAAACCAAAAATGTATCATTGATGCTATTAAAAAATTGAAAAACTCAAATTCATTGGACTGTTACAACTTGTCAAATAATATTCTCAAAAAAATAATCCCTGCTATCGTACACCCTTTAACTGTAGTAATTAATAGTCTTTTATCTGATGGACATTTCCCAGAACAATTAAAACTATCCCGCATCTGTCCTATTTTCAAGAAAGGAGATAGAGACAAACCCGAAAGCTACAGGCCGATTTCAATAGTTCCGATTCTATCTAAGGTAATTGAAATAGTAGTTTTTGAACAAATTTATGAGTTTCTTGAAAACAATAACCTTTTTTCTACTTCACAATTTGGTTTTCGAAGTGGTAGATCAACTTTAGATGCCATTGATACCTTAGTTTGTGATGTCATTGAAGCCTTTGAGTCAAGGGCCTTTGCTTGGGCCACTCTGTGTGACCTGAGCAAGGCTTTTGACTGTGTGAATCACCAGGATCTTTTGATGAAACTTCAACACTATGGCTTTGGAGATACCGTTCTTCAGTTTCTTAAATCTTATCTTAGTAATCGAAGACAGATTGTCTCTGTTAACGGTGAGATGTCAAATGAGATAATAGTGGATTGCGGAGTGCCTCAGGGGTCCGTACTTGGACCACTCATGTTCTTAATTTCTATTAATGATCTTCCAAGTAACATTTCAAAACCTACTAAATCTATTTTATATGCAGATGATACAACTTTCTTTTCAAAGAGCAGAACAATAATTGAATTAGAACAAATAACCCAAACTGCAATGAGTGATGCCTCAGCATGGTTTCAGTCAAATAATTTTCTTCTGAACAACAATAAAACTCAAAATATTCTTTTCAGTTTAAGACCCACGGATCACGTGTTTCATAATATACAACACAGTGTGAAATTCCTAGGTATGCACATTGATAACCAGCTCAGCTGGGAATCCCATGTAGATTATCTATCAACAAGATTATCTCGCGTTGTTTATCTAATTAGAAGACTGATCTCACTTGTTGACAGTAGCTATGTAAGAATGTCTTATTTCGCCTTTTTTCAAAGTATTTATCGCTATGGCTTGATATTTTGGGGAAGCAATTCAGGAATTCAGGATATTTTACTGATTCAGAAAAATATTGTTAGAATTATATGTAATGAACATCCTGATACTCATTGTAAACCTCTTTTTATTAAACTTGAATTCCAAACAGCTATTAATTTGTACATATATGATATCATGGCTTACAGCCTTAAAAAATTACCCTTTCAAACCTTATGTAATGATATCCATAGACACAATACGAGAAACAATTTAAATATTAAAAGAAGTTTTTTCAGATTAAATTTGACTCTAAAAAGCCACATAGTGATGTCACAGGTAATATATAACAAACTCAGTAAAATTGTTCAATCATATCCAACACGCTCTTCCGACTATTGAGGACAACAATGCTTTTAGGATTGGACTATTTACTGTAGAAGAGGTGTATGCAGCCATCAACAGTCTTAACAATAGCTCTTGTTTAGATATTTACGGAATTAATGTCCCCATCTTGAAGTTAGCTTCTAGTTACATAAGTGAAGTTTTGACTTACCTATTTAATCTTTGTATAACACAAGGCTGCTACCCAAACAAGTTCAAGATTTCTAAGGTTATACCAGTCCATAAAAAAGGGCCTAAAAATGTCATTGCTAACTATAGGCCTATATCTATTATCCCTGCAGTGTCGAAGGTCTTGGAACATCTCGTACATCGTAGATTTTCTCAGTATCTTGAGGATAGTAACCTTTTAGCAAGTAGTCAGTTTGGCTTTAGGCCCAAACACAGCACTGTCCAAGCAACCCAGGCACTGATATCAAATTGCTTTCAAAGTTTAGAGGCCAAAAGTGGTATAGTGTTCAGATCGTACGACATGTCTAAGGCCTTTGACACAGTGGCTCATGATCTCCTTGTGAATAAGCTTTCTTGCTATAACCTTGATGCTGTTTTGGTTAGGTTTTTTCAATCTTATCTTAGTGACAGATGGCAAAAAGTCTATCTAAATGGCACTTATTCTAGCCCTGTTCGAGTGCCCCACGGAGTGCCCCAAGGCTCTATATTGGGCCCTACCCTGTTTATACTGTATATAAATGACTTACCTTGTAATATTAATGACTTATCTGTAAAAAGCTTTCTTTTTGCTGATGACTTGGCCTTGTGTGTACGGGGTAACTCTTTGAATGATGTTACAGACACATTGGACACAAAATCTGCTGTTATTAACGACTGGTGTAATGCAAACAAGTTATGTCTTAATGCTGATAAGACTCAGGACCTGACTATTAGTCTAAGCAGTAATGGTAATGATGTAAACACTCTGAAGTTTTTGGGTTTTCATTTGCAGTCAAACTTGAAGTGGTTTTCACATGTAGATTTTGTAGCATCTAAAATTGTAAAAGGCATATTTATGATAAGAGCACTTAGGTCCACTGTTTCAGATGATGTCCTTATTTGTATATATTATGGCCACATTCATAGCTATTTGTCCTATGGTACCTCACTGTGGGCCAACAGTTTTTATGCTAACAGGCTGCTTTTTACTTTACAAAAGAAGGCGGTGAGGTTAATTTGTAGTGTGAATAGAAGAACACATTGTAAGCCCCTTTTCGTGAGTCTTAACATTCTCTCATTTCCATCCTTGTATGTTTTGGCAAGTTTGTTGTATGTAAAAGAAAACATTTCTCACTTTGAAAAGATATCTGATGTTCACAACTATTGTACTAGATCTAAAGATAATCTGTCTACACTAAGGCATAAGTATACAGCCACTCAAAATAGTTTTGAGTACCAAGGTGTTAAAATGTACAATTTCTTGCCTGCATCCATCAAAAACCTGTGTGTTTCAAAATTTAAACATGTTTTAAAAACTACTCTAACCCAGGCTTGCCTGTATAAACATGAAGAGTACTTTGGTTTAGAGTTTTAGTTTTAGTTGCCATCTTGATTGTTTTCTTTTTCTTTTGACGATTGTCATGAACTTTGTACTCAGTTTTAACGACAATAAAGCATTTCATTTCATTTCATTTCATTTCATTTCAATGTTTTTAAAACAATTTTATAATTGGCTTTTGAAAAATCCCTTTTATTCCCTCTCAGAGTTTTTAGAGAAGAAGAAAATTGTATTTTAGCTTGTAAGCTTTATATTTTATGACCTTATGACTAGTTATATTCTTGACTGTTGCTAATACATGTATAATGTCAATGAAAAATAAAGATTTCTATTCTATTCTATTCTATTCTATTCTATTCTCAGGCAGAGGAAGCAATGGGGTGCCAATTTGCGTAATGACTTTCACATTTAGTCTGTTTAGCCTGTAGCAAATTTACCTCACGCAGGCATTGTAGAGTTAATACTTAAAAATAGACCAATCTCAGCAACGGGTTCACTAGTTTAAGTTCAAAGAGAGGGGTGTTCAACCGTGACGTCAGAATTTAAAAAATTAAAAGCATGGAAGGTTAGGCTGTCAGCAGTGCTTGTCATTGTACGTTCTCAGTATCTAATGCAACCTTTAAGCCAGTAGAAAAACATTAACTCTATTTAATGGTTTGAAGTTTATTTTTAACAACAGTGGGTTGGTGGGAGGATATTATTGTTTACATTTTTCGATTTTTCATCCCAATAGTTGAAGACAAAAAATGACTCGCGATGGAAAATATCTGCAGTATTTTCTCATGTAGCTAATCAAATACCCTAATCTACACTTTAAAAAAACATCTTTTCAAACGCACATAAAATGTCCTTATGTAATTTCTACTGAACCAACCTCCAGACCGTCCTTGACTTCCGCAGGTTCCGTGGTGGGGGAGGAAGGTCTCTCCTTGGTAGGCGAGTCTGGGGGGGAATTCTCCCTTCCGTACTTCAGGTTAAAGTGGGACGGAGATCTTCTATGCTTGCGGAACAGAGGGTTGCCTGAAAATATTTAAAAGTTAATTATTTTAAATTTTAAATACCTAACAAGATTCAATTTATAGTTTTTATTTACAGTTTATTTATAAAAAAAATTTTATAAACCTTAAAACCAACTGTCTGATTTATTCTAGAAACAGCTGTGCTTGATTAGTAACGATAACCTTTGTATGATATTGGACTTTTTATAAATCCTCCTTACGGCCACACAGGCGTTTTTTTTCATACACGAACACAGCGTGAAAACACACAAAAATTTGAGCAGCATTACAACGAATACGTGCCTACTACTGAAGGAAAATACACTGCGTGTTACATTCCCCATTACATTTAATGCTGCTCATATTTATCGCATGTTTTCACACTGTGTTTCACATGTATGAAAAAACGTCCTTGTGGCCGTAGCCTAAAGAACACCTTCCTTCAGTAATCTCGGCCATAAAATTCACACTCTGGTGTGTTATCAAACAAATGTTGTATAACCTATTTAATATGACATTTTACCCATAAAATCCATGGGTCTATATATGCATATGATTTCTTAGTATATTCCTGTATGTATATTGTAGGATTTATAGTAATGTGATCAAAATGGTTAACCTAAAACAATAATTTGGCTTTTATTAGTATGTACGTATGAAAAAATTAACCATACACAAAACACAAATTTACAATTCAATAAAAGATACAACCTGCTACATCAATCAAGTAACAATAAATCACCTGAGTTAGCAGACTCGTCCTTGGCTTTGGGGTCGATCTGTGGGTGTAGGTGAGGATTGGGCTTGCTGGGTGTCGAGGTCAACACTAGAGTCTTCAACGCAGTCACCTCCGCAGTCAACACTTCCACCTGCATCGTACTCTCCCGCAGAGCCTTCTCCGCAGCAGCCTGTCTCTCATTGGCTACCCTCACCATGTTGTGAGCCTCCTGGACGAGTGACACAAATTTGATTGATTCAATGAAGTTATTTGATGGATAAGTATTGGATGCAAATACCAGTATGCGATGATAGCTGTTACTGGATATGATCAGCTGTTAGTTTGTCCAGAAGCACTATAATCAAAAACAACAGCTCACTCAGTGCCATGACAGTCTACATGACATTAAACCAAGCGTAAGATCTTAATACATTAATATGTTGCAGAGCTTTTCATATACTTTTTGAACATAAACTATATTAACTCTTCTGTACTGTTCTTCCCTTTCTTTTTCCTATGTACCAATTTGCATTATTTAATTTCTTATTCATCAAACAGCTGTCTTTAGTTCTCTAAACTGTCCAAATCATCTTTGTTTTCATGTAACTTCAAATAGGGAACAGAAAAAACATATGATAAATTTGTCCGTTTGCTAACCTCAAAATTGTAATAGTCCCTATACAGTATTATGAAAACGCTGATATTTACACAATATTTGAAGTTATGTTTGTAAACAACAGAAATGTAAACATTGACGACGAATTTGTATAACCTCAAATTATGTGGTCTAATTTTGAAAAGATTAGAAGGTACAGTATGATGAAAGTAGTTGGTTCATCACACGGAGCGAAAGTATATTTTTAGTACTTATCGAATTTCCAAAAAGAGCCACTTTCGCTCCTAGTTATGAGAACTACAATTTTGTACCTATGTATTAATTTTAGGTCGTTGTATGAAAATAATTAGCAGTACATTAACAAAAGAGATACAGAAACTTCAGTAGAGCTTAAAAAAATCAACACCTCATACTTGACTAACCTAAAGGATCAATACTAATAAAATATATCTTCTTACACCATCCGATGTATTTACATTTTAAACAATAACCATTAGGTAAATATAAAATATATTTTAAAAAGTTAATAAATTACTGCTGTACTTAAATAAAACTACTTGGAAATTTTGGATAGTAGTCCAAAATTTCCAAGTAGTTTTTAAGTAGCCTGGTCTATATTGAACACATAAATGATATTCCAATTTTCATGGGTTACACAGTTAAAATACTCTATTACAGTTCTTCTTTAATGTGTCTTCAATCAGTTAAAAACCTTCAAATAATTCAACCCGCCGACATCTTACACATTACAATTCAGCTCACATAACACATTAGGGCGATGTGAACTCCAGAATCAGAGTGAAACAGGGAAAGTAAGATAACGAAGGGAATTGTTTCAAGTGAAACTTTGTCTCGAACATTCTCACAGTTCTCGTCTATTGTTTCACAAACTGACTTCGACTTCATTAATACGTGACAAAGCATTGTTCTGCGTTAATAATGGTAATTCATGAAATCTGACAAATGTACTTTCCATTAATTACTATGTACTCATTATGAGGGGAAATAGATTTAAAAGATTAAAATATGTTCAAGGAACTTGTTTTGTATTTGATGAGAAGTCTATGCTCATTTGAAACTTATTTATACCAAGCAAAAGTTGCCTGAAATTAATATTTGAAATTGTTCATGGTACTTCTTACCAGTTTTGTAAAAAAAAAATTACTTTCAGTAGGCTTAAACGTATTTATAAGTTATTGTTATAAAATAGTATTGTAAATATATTGTTATTGATTTTTGTCCTATTTCTTTTTTAATCACTATCATTTGATGATTTGATCATATTTGTCATTAGTATCAAATCAAATATCATGTTTAATTAATTATCGTGTTCAAGAAAGTATGACACAGTTACAATTTTTGTCAGTAAAATGTCATGGTTATGTTATCAAAGAGATAAGGGCAACTAACAATATACTGACAGAAAAAAAAGAAAAGCCTCTCACTCTCACATAACATAGGCTACCACCCGTCTGAGAGAGATTTCCGCTATCAGGAATATTAGAAATTGAAACAATAAATATTTATGGAACATGAGAGATGATTATTAATTATTAGGCCTAATAATAACTTTGTTGAAAGTAAATAAAAATATAATATAAAATAAGATAAGTTTTCTTATTTGGATGGTTGGTGAGCTCAACAATTGGACTAATAAGATCCAGACAAAATGAGACAACACAGGTATTCCTAGGCTCTCCTAAAACTAACAGTGACCAAAGCACAAAGCAAAAAACACACAAAGCACAAAGAAGAAAACATGAAGACTGGGTTCTTTATTTGTTGAAACTCAAACAAAACATTATAGAAGTGTGTTCACCAAAAACTTGTTCTAATTATTTTTTTATTTATTGTCCTCCTTTTATTCGTTGTATTGAGCCAACCCTTCGGTATCCAATAGTCAATGGCCAACCACAACAGAAGGTTTTATAACCATTGTTGTTTTATGCTTTTATTTAGTGTTTTAGTGAAAAATAAAGCATGTTTTTCTTCTTTCTTCTGCTTATTCATTGTCCTTGATTTGAGGTGAAAACATTACTGAAAATTGGTTTTAAAAATATATAAATAAAAATTACATGGGGACCAAAGAGCTAAAGGAAATAATCTAAAACTTGAATTTTTTGTATTGAAACGGGATATAAACAAGTAAAATATAAAGTGTTACATTGCTTAGAAGATGTTTTGAACTCAAATAAGGACAATAATAGCGAATCATACTCCGTGTTGTTAAAACAGTCTTGTAAACAAAGTCAGTTGGTGAATCAGCCGTAGAGGTAAACATCATTAAGTTTATTGATACAAACCTCCATTACATTCCTCTTTGGTTGCTTGATCTATAATTATAGAATTCCATTATCTGTATTTGCTAAGGGGGGGGGGGGGATTTTTTCCGTGAGTTTAATTTTAGCAATTGACTTTAAAGTGATTACCTTTCCACAACTTTGAAAACTGTAAATGCTAATTACTTTTTTATTTAGTTCAAAATTTTAAAAGTGAAGATATGTTTTTTGTTTATGTTTTCATAAAAAAGTTACACCTTATATATAGTGGACCACCTGCATCCATTTTTTACCAATGAAATTTTCAAATTTTGTTATTCAAATAGAACATTTTAGAATGAGCCACTCACTGAAAGTGTTACAGTCTGATAACTCTGTTTTATTCCATACTTTTTGTTACCGTACTGAAATAGTTTATTCAAGATAAAATATGCTTTGTTTAGTATTGTTAAGTTGACCATCCAGTTTGGCTTGATTAAAAAATATACTTATCAACAGAAATCATTAAACTACATGTCGGCCCCCGCTTACAAACTAGCTAAAAGATTAGAGAAAATTGTAAAAATGAATGTCACATTTAATAATAGCCACAGCCTAAAAAATAGTATGGATCTAGTAAATAAAATCAAAGACATAAAACCTAATGACAGACACACTCTAGCCTCTTTAGATATCTCCAACCTATATACTAATGTACCCGTCCTAGAAACTTTAAAAATACTACAGAAAAATCTGACCGAAAATTCTAATTTGAACCAAGATGAAATAAATGAATTGATGCTTTTACTGAGAACAGTACTCCAACAAAATTATTTCAGTTTCAATAATGAATATTTTACACAGAAAGAAGGGCTCGCTATGGGGTCACCTTTATCAGGAATATTAGCAGAAATATTCCTGAATGAAATGGAGAATCAGCATTTATGGACAGACAATACAAAAAAATACAAGGACCGTATCATTTTCTACCATAGATATGTTGACGATATCATCATCATGTATAATGGCAACAATAGACAAATCCAGCTTTTTAACAATTATTTAAACAACATTCATCCACAGCTAAAATTTACAATAGAATTTGAAGAAAACGAAAAACTCAATTTCTTAGACCTAACACTAACAAAAACAAAAGATAAGATTGTATTCAGCATCTACAGGAAACCTACAGCCAAGATACCACCATTCATGAAACTTCCCATCACCCCTTCCAACACAAGATAGCAGCATACAATAGTTTCATTCACAGAATGCTCACCGTCCCCCTAAACCCCGATGATTATGAAAAAGAGATAAACATAATTAAATACATCGCCGTCTCAAATGGATACAGCCCTAAATTTATTGATAATTAATTTGACCAGTAAACAAATAATCAAGAAAAAAGCCATTACTAGCACTGATAACAATAAAGAGCGAATGGAGTATGTATCAGTTGAATTTGGAACCAACCTCTCCCATACACTGAAAAACCAGATGAAAAAGCATGGCAAAATTGTAGCCTTCAAAACATCTAATAAACTCCAAAATAAACTCCAAAATCTCCTTTCTGTAAAAAATACACCACAGGATTTTTGTCAAAAAACAGGAGTTTATAAAATAACCAGTAATGACTGTGATAAGTTTTACATTGGCCAAACTGGAAGGCCCTTTGTAAAGAGGTTTAAAGAACATCTTCCCAAGAAAACCATCGTTCAAAAATCAAATTTCGCCGACCATTTGGTAGCCAGTAACCATAGTTATACTGATATAACAACAAATTTGCAGCCTTTACATATTTGCCAAAAAGGCCGAACAATGACGGCATTGGAACAGTTCGAAATTTACAGAGCCTCTAAAATTGAAACAAACAACCTGTTAAACGACAAAAACACCCTGCAATCCAACATTCTTTTTGAAACCTTAATACAAATGAATAGTAGCCGAAACAAAGCTGCACTAGCTACGTCACCAGGACAAAGGTCAGATCACGACCAACTACTGTCTTCAAATAAAAAACTAAAAACAGGCTTTACCTTCGTCACTGCAGCTCAAATTCTTGTTGTGTAACTATGTTACGGCCGTTTCGGCATTCAGGGTGTCTAGTTTATTTCCATTATAAAATTCAAGACTAATTCCAGACTTTTCAAGACTAATTCCGGATTTTTCAAGACTAGTTTTTTCAACAATTAGTGCGTGTTGATACCAAAATGTATCGATTCTCGATTCTTGATACCGATACCAATTTTTATAGCTTAACCAAATTTTCTGAATAATACTACACCAACCCCTGTCTTTGTCATAAAGTAGTATTATGATAATGTGGTGTTTTCAAGTAAAGAAATAATGCAGCAATAAAAAATTCTAACTAGCAAATTTGTTTTTTTTTATCATGAAATCTTCCACGTACCGTACGTTTAGACATCATCATTGACTGCAGCAGTTACAGAAACGTGATCGTCGTCGTCCGCGATCACGGCAAAATCATGAACATTTCCCGGGGCCTTGTAGACATCAATGTCATCATCGTCGTCTCCCGCTGTCTCAGAAACGTCATCGTCATCGTCCGCGATCGCGGCAAAATCATGAACATTCCCCGCGGCCGTGTAAACATCATCGTCGTCTCCCGCGGTCACGGAATCGTCATCGTCGTCTCCCGCGGTCACGGAAACGTCATCGTCATCTCCCGCGGTCACGGAAATGTCATCGTCGTCGTCCGCGATCGCGACAAACTCATGAACATTTCCCGCGGCCGTGTAGACATCATCGTCGTCTCCCGCGGTCACGGAAATGTTATCGTCATCGTCCGCGATCACGGCAAAATCATGAACATTTCCCGCGGCCGTGTAGACATCATCGTCGTCTCCCGCGGTCACGAAAACGTCATCGTCGCCTCCCGCGCTCACGGAAACGTCATCGTCGTCGTCCGCGATCGTGACAAAATCATGAACATTTCCCGCGGCCGAGCAGATATCATCGTCGTCTCCCGCGGTCACGGAAACGTCATCGTAGTCTCCCGCTGTCACGGAAACGTCATCGTCGTCTCCCGCGGTCACGGAAACGTCATCGTAGTCTCCAGCTGTCACAGAAACGTCATCGTCGTCGTCCACTATCGCGGCAAAATCGTGAACATTTCCCGAGGCCGTGTAGACATCATCATTGGTTTTTGCGATTACGTAAACGCAAGACGACGATCGCGGCAAAATCATGAAAATTCCCGACTTTGAAATCAAATTTAAGACTAAATCCCGACTTTCAAGACCATTTTGAAATTCAATACTAATTCCCGACTTTCCCGATTTTCCCGACTACTAGACACCCTGTATAATGCCATCGTCAGACTACAAAAACACAAACTCGGCTGAAGTAGCGTCGTTGAAGTTTAAACACGTAACACATACGAACAATAATATACATTTAAAATATTTACAAAAACCGAACAGGCCTGTCGTACTAACGGGTGACATGTTCCCGTTCCGAGCAAAAACCGACAGCGAACGGGAACATGTCACCCGTTAGTACGACAGGCCTGTTTGGTTTTTGTAAATATTTTAAATGTATATTATTGTTCGTATGTGTTACGTGTTTAAACTTCAACGACGCTACTTCAGCCGAGTTTGTGTTTTTGTAGTCTGACGATGGCATTATAATGCCGAAACGGCCGTAACATAGTTACACAACAAGAATTTGAGCTGCAGTGACGAAGGTAAAGCCTATTTTTAGTTATTATACAGCTCAGGGGCTAAAACATGGATTTTAATACTGTCTTCAGTCGAGTCTCGACACACGTCTGGCGCGCCTCCATATCCTGCCCGTGCACGCGTAGCAAAAGTTAAAAATGTTAATTAACGGTCGACCGGTTTTTATGTGTGTTTTGTGTTGTGAACATCTTACGCACCTCTTCAGGGAAGTTAAGTGTAAACAGTTCTTATACGGATCCGACAATGGCGCTCGCGCCGAAATGTACATAATCCACTAGGACAACACTTTGGACCACAAGGTGACAAGCAGGTATTTTAACCTTTTATTTATTAGAAATCATTAATTTACACCAGTACACTCTCTCAGTGACGAAATAGAATGTCTAAAGGCTGTCTCATGTTAAGTTGAGGCAGACTACCTGACCAGAGGGTAGAGCAGGACAATGGCTAGGCCGGTCCTTCGACGGACCCTCCCGACCCTTGGAGTAAATCCCATTAACCACGCTTCACTGAAAACTTCACTTAAAACCGTAAATATATTGATTAATTGAAAATATAATCAATTCGTCATATCTGAAAATAATGTATTCTAGGTTATAAAAAACAAAATGTTTCATGTTCGTCCCATGCAAATCGGCCGACTTGAAGTATTAAAACAAACTTATAATTTGTCTTTTGTAGTACAAAATTAATTTATAAGTCGGTATTAATAGTGCATCTATCAATATAAATAAAATTAGAGTTTTATCTGTAGGTTGTTCAGAATTATATATTTTTAGCGGTTTTTTACATTTTATACATTAAAGAAGTGAGATTAATAATAACCATGTGGATTAAATAACGGGGTTGATTAATCGCAAGGGCAATATGTAATTGTAAATTAAATCAAATAACTAGCCACCATCCAGGTCAGGAACCTGAGAATCAGTGTGTATCAAGTTGTACCGGTTGTACCCTACTCGAGTTTTGATAACGGCGCCAAAAGCCTACAATCGAGGTTTCCACTCATTAACATAATTATTTCTCATTATTTCAAATGCTGTTGTGTAAAGTAAAAAATTACAGCTGCACTGGGTAATCGCGGATGTTGCTGCTATCTCGGAAGATCTTCGCAATTTTGCTTTATACGTAACAGTCCAATGTGTCAAATCACATATTTTACAATGTGTCTTTTTTCGGTTTTGACTCACCGCTATTGCATTGCTGTTGCTGGACCATACCGCGAAATTTGTTTCTGAGAAGTAGATTAACGTAGCCTCTTAATAGTTCGGACGTCCGGTTGCAAAATGTTACAACTATGTACCCAACTAAATTACAGCTGTTTCGGCAGGGAAAAGGATCATCATGATCATATTAGGTCGATGATCAATAATACTAATTAGGTAGTATATACTGAATATAATAATTATATTAATATAATTAATGAATTAATTCATTTTAGAATATTATAGACCATACTTTTATTATTCCTAACGCAGAGAAAGTTGAACTGTAGGGCCTAACTCACTAACTTAAAAATCTCATACCTTTTTGTAATAACTACACAATTTACTTCTTCACAATATTTAGGAGATTTGAGGAGAAGTTCCCCTAACATCTTTTTTATTTAATGTATATTAATTAATCACCTGTTGAGCTATAATTTAAAGGTAAGGGTCAAGTGGAGGTGATAGATTTCTTCCCCTAAACCATCTAAATATTATGAATGAAGTATAATACAGAATATCAATTATTAGTAATTTAAAATTAAATATTGTACTTAGTTATAAGGAGAAAAGTTTGATTTAATACTTAAAGTTGGCCGGTTTGCATGGGACAAAAATGAAAAATTTAGTTTTTTATTTTTTATAACCTAGAATACATTATTTTTAGATATGACGAATTGATTATATTTTAAATTAATCAATATAGTTACGCTTTTAAGTGAAGTATTCAGTGAAGTGTGGTTAATGGGATTTACTCCAAGGGTCGGGAGGGATGGCCTAGCCATTGTCCTGTTCCACCATCTTGGTCAGGTAGTCTGCCTCAACTTAACATGAGACAGCCTTTAGTTGTTTTACTCGCAGTTCAAAGATTGCGCAACACATAAAAAACACCATTAAGAAAGTTACGTCAGAATAATTCCCTACCTGGAACAGACTCGCCGTTAACTCCTCCAGTTCGCTCTCCACCTCCTGTCGTATCCTGCTTAGTCGTTCGACCTCCTCGTCACGCAGCTTCAGTTCCTCCCTGGCACGACGCAGCTCCTCCTGCAGCCGCGCAACTGCATGCTCCTTCGCCTCCGCCACTGTCCGGTCCCAACTAGAGGCCGCTGACTCTAGGCCACTGTCCACCGTGAGTCCGTCGTACACTGCGCTGACTCCTCGGGGAATGTCCTCGGGGGGTGATCTGCTGCGACAACCAGACACTACAGCCTAGAACATTGGAGATTCGATTAATTTCAATAAAAAAATGTCTTATTCATTATAAATAGAAACGTAACTTAAATTAGCCTACTATTTTAAATTTTACTATTTCAAATAAAACAACAATAAAATTGGGTAGGTCTAATCATAATTGTAATGGAGTATGTAGCTGGGATGATGGTTGTTTTTTGGACTCCATTAAAAGAGGGACGGGATCAAATCTCAGCATATCCATGTAAATTGAAAATATTTTGATCGCTTTCCTTTAGCTTATGATTCATCCATACAAAATGCCACTGAATTAGACAAAAAAAAAAAAAAAAGGTTCCACACTTTAATATTTGTGTTCCCAGTTTTTCTATTATTTAGAGAATAGGCCTACTCTGAGAACACATATAATAGAATATAGGCTAATCCAGTAAAATTTTGTTACAGAATTTATAGGAAGCTCTAGTAAAAAGACTCAATAGGCCTACTTCAAAATTGTACAACTAATCTTTTAAAATGTTTCTATGGGCCTAAACGGATGGACTTCAAGTTCCTTCTACCAAAGGTCTGCATTAAAAAGGAATTGCAGCGTCACACGTACCTATCTCTCTAGGTTTTATTAACATCATGAAATTCATATTGATATTAAAATTCATTTTGAACTGAAAAGTAAATCAGCTGATCAATTAACATGATTCACCTGACAGATATCCCCATGAGGTAGTAATTTATTTGTTACCCAAATGAGATTGGACGAATAATTTTCCAACTAAATCTAAACTTGAGTAAACTAGTTGCTTGTTGTCTAAAGGAGTTGAGTGCAAAACATATGTGCGGGGTATAAAATAAGTTGTTTTTACGCTGACACAGCCTATTCCCATCATACGATGGGTCAGCAGCCAAGAAGATGGTAATAAGGAAATAATAAGGCCATCATTTTTCTCATATTGTTCATGATATACCTACTAGGCCTAAGCCAATTATTGAAAATCAAGCAATGCAAAACATTATGTTCACAAAAAACCTAATAAACACAGGGTATTTAATTTTGGTCTCGTTATCTTATGGATTGGTTTCCAAATGTAAGCTGTTCGATATCTATCGAGACTTGTCTTCTTACCTGAGACGTTTATGGTTTTTTCATAGATGGGCGTGAAACGTAAAAAGAAGGCAGTCAGACTTATTTCGTCCACTGACTACCACGAACATTGCAGACCATTACATTACAACATTACAGTATACAGCCAGTACATTCTAATCACCCTAAACAACGTAAAGACCAAAACATCTCTAGTCTTGCATTGAGAGAAGACCAACATGATCACAATACAAGGTCAAAATCCACCTTGATATCCCTTTCTGCAGACTAAACAAAAAAAGGACAGCTTTCCTATTTTGGCAATTAGGATGTACAACCGACTGCCACCGTAGCCTACCTACTGTAAGTACTTTAAAAACCTTGAGGCCTCAGTTTTCAAAAACGAACTGAGGGAGTGGCTACTGGCAATGCCCTTGTACTCCCTAGATGGGTTTTATAAAATTTGCATCCAACCTGCCGCCAAACTTGTAAATATGTACGGTATATAAATATTATTTTTATTTTGACTCAGTCTATCCAGCAAGAGCTGATCAACGACGTCGAGGGAGTAAGTAAGTAAACCACTGTGTCACACTATTAGGCTATAACAAAGCTAAAATCCATTGCTGATTGACAAGGTTAGAATCCAGCCCCAAGACAGCAGAACTACACTTTACAGTCAACGCTTTTGACTTTATACTAGCCACCTTCATATTATTTTGTCAAGAATATGGATTGAATGTGAGACATAAACAAGTTTTTGATGTCCACAAACATTGAAAATTTCATCGAGTCTGAGTCTCAATGTTGTCATTACGACCAACGATAAATAATAACAGGCCCAACTTACCCATGACAGTTTGCACATTAATAGGCCTATCCTATCTCATTTATACATTTTTAAATTCTCCAACCAACCCCCACTAAGTAAGTACCGTACTAACTTACCCAGCAAAATCATATAATATCTTTTGTTTTCAAAAATTTCAACCTACCTCATTTTCCGGTTCTGTTTCCACCAGAGATTCGAGAGAATGTTTTTCCTCATCGCCCCGATCGAACCCGTTGTTCACGACTCCGTTCAAGTAAGAGTCAGACCTCTCTTTTCTCGGAGAACACTGTATCACCACACCATTCTGAATCCCATTAGTCTTGTTGCACTTGGAGTCGCCTTTCCCGAGACCGTTCACAGCACTTTTCGCATCTCCGTTGACGTAGTTGCTGCTCGCTGGGTGTTTTGCGGGAGACCCACGCAGGATCACCTGGGTCTTGGAGTCTGAGTCGGGTTTGGGTGTCATGGAGTCGGGAAGAAGGATGTCGCCTGCGATCACGCTGACCTCTAGAGACGGATCCACCGCCTTCATAGCTCTCACTCTCTCTCGGAACACCAAGCTAAATGTTCGTCCTGCAACACATCATCGGATAATTAGATAGGATGTCAACTATCAGATGTCAGTATGGATCAGGTCAATTAGATTGGTGAGCAAGATGTACACGAGTAGAAGAATCCTTCCTTCACCACTGTCGCTCACCCTACCAATTTTAAACCATAAGCTAGTGACTGTTTCAGGATCAAACCCTTCCTTACTAGGACTACCAGGCAAGCACTAAAACAGTTCAGCTTTTCAGTATTTTGTCTACTTTCTATTATAATATACTGTAGGCCTACTGTACACAGTAGGCTACTATACACTACATTATACTGCTTTCATTATCGAAATATTCTACGTTGGCAGAAATAAAGAGATTTCTATTTAGGATTAGATAAATAAACTTGGAAGTCTAGACTCAATGTCAGCTGAGTTTAATTTTACAAAATCGGCTGGTATAATTTTGATTTTTTTACCCTGTAGGGCCTAGGCCTACCATATGTTTGTGTCATGAAATTAAATTGAACGAGACAAATTGAAACAAAGGTTACTGTTAAGTACAGTAGCCTACCTACATGAAAAGTCTATTGCTTCCTAAACAAATAAATACTTTAGTTATTCACACCCTTCTCTAATTTTCTTATACAACATATACAAAGAGCAAAAATATGCCAAGGTTATTAATGCTACTACACTCTTGTTGAAGTGATAGAGTGGGAATTCTGCAAGGACAGTAAGGACATTAAATTTGTAATGTAGGCCTATAAATAAGCTTAAGCCTACAGGAAAATTAATAGACAAGTCATACATACATTGACACTAAGTTATAATGAAAAATACCCCCCCGCAGCAAACCTGCAGACTAAGCGAATTTCCATTTGCCTGATTGAATTTAATACTAAAATGTCTACACCTACTCAAAAATATAACATTTATTCCCTATTTAAATAGAATTAGTCTAACAAGTAGGCCTACCTACTTAGGTTTGCTGCATCAGGGAGGGTAAAACTTTTTTTTTGTAAAATTTGAATAGGCTAGTTAGTAAGAAATAAGTAAACACATTTTCCAAATTTGATCAAAATATGTTCATAAACAAACAAACAAAATTACAACAGTTTACTTATTCTCCATAAGAATAACATGGGAATTTACAATTTTTTGGAATTTTCTCTGAACCATTAGGCGCAAAATTGTTTGTTTTCATAAGCTCTACAAAATGGTTTGGAAAGAAATTGCTTAATTTTATGTTTTTTGGGTCAAAAAATGGGTAAAACCTATTTATACCCCATAAGACCCCCGTTCCCATAGTCCGATCATGCTGGTTTGCAAACTCGTTAGAATAAATGTAGGTTTATACGTTTATACCAAATTTCATCAAAATCGAATCATTTTTGCTTGAGTTGTCGTGCTAACGGACACATACATATATATAGGCCTAGGCCTATATATGAATTTGAATGGATGGTGATTTTGGCCTCTAGCACAGAAAACGTACTAACTTACTATAACCCAGAATGCCAACCGCATGGTAAGCATGGCAACGCTGGTGGCGCTGCCTACGGATTGACAGGCAAAGCTCTCTCACAACACTTAATACTTTTTACCATGCGGTTGGCATTCTGGGTTATAGTAGTACGTTTTCTGTGCCTCTAGGGACCTCACAACGAAAAAAAATCGGTCCCGCGTCCAGGTCTTACCATGAGTACTACGGTAATAGCTTATTCCCTATAGCCTATGGGAAATTCGCTAAAAATGAAGTCTTAGAACTCTTCCCAAAATGAGGAAATGGGATAAGTCAAATATATACCTATAAGTTAGATGTACTAGGTACTTAATGGTATTGAATTCCATTGCAAAAGCATGGAGACATTGAATCTTCGTAACAAAGATCTGAGAGTAATGATAATGACAAAGCCAGTCTCTAGTGGAACAAAGGAAACCTTTACAGGTCCTTAGTATTACTAACTTATTATTAGAGACTTGACTTAGCCTAATTTAGAGACTTGGATATTATCAGACTAAAAAAAAACTGTAGAAGTCTTAAGATCTGTCATAAAAACCACCATTTATGATCCCTATGTTGTTTGGAGACCAAGATAGGCTAACTTACTATTTTACTTACATTCATATTTGTATTTGTTTCACTACTTTCATTGCTTCCTTCTCGAATCACTCTTACTTCCAATTATAAGGGATACACTGTCACTATCTTCACTAATAGCCTATTTAACCTTTTTCATCCTCAAAGAGATATTTTCTAGGCTGAACATATGCATCCGTGGAATGTTTGTCAATATAATTATCAATACCATAATGTTTCAATCTAGGCCTATTGCCACGTCTTGACATTATAAACAAATATTCAATTTATAATTGGATGTATGCCGTATAACGTTGTTCTCTAGTTTTAAAACAACATTTTGCAAGTTGTGTACAGAAAGATAGAAAAGAAAATTAACTTTTACGATTTACGATTTCCGCTGAAACGCAACACAAACGTTAGCAGACACTAGACAGCTGACTTGACTGACTAGTTGAACTGAAATGAAATAACGTCATTCTCAGCTCAGTTACAAAGACCACCGACTTAATTCCAAAGGCGTGTGAACATAAGGAAAAGGTAGTTTAAGCTAATAGCCTCATCATCGAATAAATATTTGACCGAAACTCGCAAAATTGTATGCTAAAATAATTATAAACAGATAATTTTATTCCTATTTTTCTTCTTGTTTGTTGTGTATAATGTAATGTGTTTAAATTGGCTGTTTATTTATTGATCGGTTAGTTCGCATTTTTTTCGAATTTCCCTATAGGGAAATTGTAGGGAATTAGGGAAATCCCTATAGAGGTCTAGCTATTAAACCTAGACACTGTACCAATTTCTACTTTTTTTATGTCGTCAGAGGCCAAAAACATCACACGTTAAATTTTTGTGTGTGTGTGTGTGTGTGTGTGTGTGTGTGTCCGTGAACGCAATAACTCAAGTAATTTTAGACTGATTTTAATTAAATTTTGCTTAAAGGTGTAGGACGGGATAAAAGGTGATTATTTCGCGAACCAGCAATATCGGGTAATTTGTACAAAGGGTTGTAAAATCTGTAAGAAAATTATTGCTTTGGATTTAGAGACCGGCACAGCGCTGTCAGCTGCTGGTCAAAATGCGAGATGAAAAGGTTAAAAACATAAATTACAGTATCAACAATGAACCCGAGTAACCCGTGAGGTCTACTTTGCCACCCGGCGAAGTGGCTTTTACTTTCACTGTTTATTCAGGGGAAAGCTGCTAAGTCACGGTAAATTAAGGTGAAAATTGCTTACTTTTTCTCAGTCCTTGTAACCTAAAGTTTTTTTTAACAACAAGTGTTTAAAAAACTATTTCGAGTTGATTTTGCAAGAAATAAAAATTATTGCATGCGTAGTATGTTTTTCTGGATTCGTAATTACTTGGGTTAGACATCGATGAGCATACTTTTTTGATCAAAGTTACAATTATAACTGGAATTTGTTTTAAGAGGGTTAATTTTGTACAGTAATATATACTCAATAATTTTTATAAACTAATTAGCTGACAGTGGAACCTCAATAACAAGACCCTGGATAGAAAGTAATTTCATTTCAAGTCTTTAATTTTATATCATCCCAATCACATGTTAATAGCAAACCTCAATAAAAAGTCTAGCAGATAACGTATAGAGAACAATCCTAAGGCCCTGTACACATGAGGGCGGCAGCCGCCGCGGTAGCCGCCGCGGCGGCCGCAGAGGACCGTACACATGGCTGCGGCAGCCGCGGCGGCTGCCGCCGCGGTTGTGGTGTGATTTTTGGGTCCTCGAAACCCTCGGGCAAAACAGCCAGTACAGTTATAGAGCTGGAAGAGTTAACCTGCCTTTGGTTATTGCATCGAAGGTTAAGAGCAAGGCGAAGACGACAAAGAAGATGGTGGGTGCACCCTGTAATAGACGACACATTAACCTTGGGTTCATTTTTTACTCTGTACCCAAAATTAAGAGAATACCCTGCTAAGTTCTTTAACTACTTTCGAATGAGTGTAAAATCTTTCGATGAACTGTTGGCTCAAGTATGTAAACTCACCTCACAATATTCATTTTAGGCTAGGCCTATTCTATAAATGTTTAAAGTTAATAAGTTAACAAAGATAATACGAATTACAAAAGGTGTTTTATTGAAACAAATGAACAAACATGCAATGAAATTTAAAAGGCTTAACGTTATAATGAAAGGACTGACAATGGCGAGTGGGGGTTGAAATTAAAATGAAATAGAAGATAAGTTTGAAATAAAGGTTCTTTAATTTAGATGTGCTAAGTTATATCTCAGGGTAGGGTGTCGTGCTGGCTTGAATGCTAAGAATTAATAAATTAAATAGTGTCCAAATTGGCCTAATTAAGAAGTTAAACTTACAAATCCCAACAATGAAAAATCGAATTTTGATGTTGTCCAAAAAGGTAAGTCCAATATACACTGAATTTAAAAGAGTTTAAAAGAAAAGTTTATACTTAATTTTGAAAATAATGTTGGAGTTAAGTCCTCTTGAGGTTTACTGTGATAACTTGAACATAAAACTGGTTTTCTTGACGATATTTAATTAATTTAATTTAGATAAAATCTGGACTCTTCTTTTAACAGTTTTAACTTCCACTATGGCTTCCTTCTCTCTCCATCTCAATGTTCACATAATTCATTGTTGAATACATGGATCATTATTTCACTGCTTCTTGAATTTTGATTCCTTAAGGACTAATTTTGAAATGATATTATAAGAAATTTTGGTATATTGCAATTCTCTTACATATTTAATGAATTTAATGAACAGATTAATTACATTATATAAATTAGGAAAATTAATATTAGGCCAGCCTTTCTGAGGAGTGATTAACAACAAAGGTGTATGAATAGAAGTTAACATTTTAAGAAACTTAATGCAAAAAAAATTAATGAATGAAATGAAATATTACAAGTACAAGATCACTTATAACCTAGTGAAAAGACAGTGAGGGATGGGATTTCGCCAGAA